GGGATAGCATTAATCAAACTGCTTTACTAAATGATAACTCTTTTGTACAACTCCTTTTCTTTCTTTCTTTCTTTCTTTTTTTTTTTGGTCATAGGGCCTGAACTCTGGGCCTGAGGGCTGTCCCTCAGCTCTGCAGCTCAAGGCTAGCACTGTACCAGTTGAGCCACAGCACTACTTCCTTTTTGTTTTTTTTTTGCTTATGTGGCGCTGAGGAATGGAACACAGGGCCTCATGCAAGCAAGTCAAGCACTCTGCCACTGACCCACCTTGCCAGCCCAACTACTTAATTTTAAAAGCACAACTTTTGGGCCCATAATATTTAGTAATACTTTATTCTGTGAATTTCAAGTTTTTATTTTAAATTTTGTGGGGCTTTTTTTTGCAGGGGGGGGGTTAGGAGGAGGGTTAACCAGAGTTTTAAACTCGGTTTTTTAAAGATCTTATACTTGGTAGGTAAAAGCTATATCACTTGAGCTATGCCCTCAATTGTTTTTGCTTTTGATTGTTTTTTAGATAGAGTCTCATGGTTTTTGTTTGGACAGCCTTGGATTCCATCCTCCTAACTATGATTTCTGCATAATTGAGATTACAAGTATGATTCAACATGCCTAATTCTTTTTTGTTGTGTTAAGATTGTATTTTCTTAATCATTATTGTCCAAGTTGGCTTTTACTTTGTAATACTTCTGTCTCAGTTTCCTTAGCATTGGATTTCCAGACATGTACTGCATGCCTAGGTCATGAATTTTTACTTCTTATATCTTCTTTTGGAAAATTGATATTTTCCAAATTTTCTCTTTTAAGCTATCACTCCTTTTATTACTTCAGAAATCAATATACTGTCAAAACACTATTCAACTCAATAACCAACAAATGTTCTTCTTTTTTTTTTTTTTTGGGTCCGGTCGTGGGACCCGAACTCTGGGCCTGGGCACTTTCCCTCAGCTCTTCAGCTCAAGGCTAGCGCTCTACCACTTGAGCCACAGCACCACTTCCGGCTTTTTTTTTCTTTTTGCTTATGTGGTGCTCAGGCATGCAAGGTAAGCGCTCTACCACTGAGCCACCTTCCCAGCCCCCAACAAATGTTCTCAAACTGCACACAGAAGAATGCACTTTAAGTGTAGAGGAGAGGTGTTGGAGGCATGGCTCTGTTGGTAGAGTACTAGCCAATGAGCAGCAGGTACAGAATCCCTGTCTTGGACCTTTAAAAAAAAGTGTATAGGAGCCAGGCAAAGTGGCTCACAAATGTAAAACACTTGTTACTTGGGTGAGTTAGATCAGCAGGATCACACAGTGACAAAAATGTTCACAAGACCCATTTCAATCAATAGCTGGACATGGTGGGGCATGCCTGTCATTCCAGCTACCTGGAAACCATAAATAAAATGTTCTTGATCCAGGCTGGGCATAGAAAAAACAAGACTCTATTTGAAAAATAATGAAAGCAAAAGGGGATGTGGAGACATTGCTCAAGTGGTAGAGTGTCTGCCTAGCAAACACAAGTCCTTGAATTCCAGTTTGAAGGGGGAAGAAAGTGTAGCAGAGGTGTAGCAGCAGAGGCTTGTAATCCTATGTACTTGGGAGGCTGAAGGAAAGGACTCAAATGTTAGGTCAGCCTGAGCTACATAATAAGTTTCCATCTCAAAAAAAAAAAAAGTAGCATTGACATGTAGAATGTCACTGCAGATAGAGAAAAGTCAAAGAATTTGAAGAGCTATAATACTATAATAATCTGTTTCATTCACATAAAACTGTCACCTTGGAAATATTTCTGTAGTTTCAGTTACTATTTCCTGATGAGAAAGCAACCTATCTGTCTCCATGTGGCCTTACTTAAGAAAAAGCCTTTCCTAAGATTTCTTTCAACCTTCTGTTCTAACTATAGAGAACACAGTTTACATTATAGGTCTCATGAATTAAATCCTATCCAGTTATTTATTTCATATCACACACACACACACACACACACACACACACACACACACGCAAACACGATCAGAGTAATTTAGGATGTCTCTTACCTTGTTTTTAGAAGAAGTAGTGGTGTTTGGATTGATTTTAAATTAAAAAACACAGTAGATTCTTTTCTGTTTAAAATCCATTTTAAATTGCTCTGAAGGGAGCCATTACTTAGGAGTTAAGCACTTAAATTGAAGGAACCCAGTATAACTCAGTAGTCAAGCAGTTTATAATAGTAAGCTCACACACTATTCATGATACCTAAAATATGGAAGCAGTCCAGTGCCCTACAGCAGATAAGAAAATATGGCACATATATGCAATGGAATTCTACTCCCCATCAGGAAGAATAACATTATGCCATTTGCAAGGAAATGGATGAACTTAGAAAAAAAATCATGCTAAGTAAAGTAAGTCACCTCAGATGCAGTTCCCACTTGTAAAGTAGATATAAAGATAGTGGTTATACAGCTCTGTTGTGCCAATTGTAAAACATAGCTTATATAAAGGGATTTGCAAGTGGTTTGTCATATAGTAAGCTCCCAATAAACCTGTTAATTCTTGTCAAGGTTTTTGCACTATGCTACTTTAACCAAATTTAAAATGTGATCCTCAGATATCTTCAGGGGTCATGAGGTCAAACTGTTTTCATAATGTTAGAATACTTTGATGGTTCAAAAGCAAGCAACTTCAGATCAACATGTGGTAGTTTCACACTTACTAATGTGGCCCTTATAAAAAGCAGCAAGTATAACGAGTATATGTCTGAGTCAAGCAGAAAAGGTCAGATAAGGTGATGTTAGGGGAATGAACCCCAAGGTAAGTATTCAAATGTTTTTTTTTGTCTTTCATGCAATTGTTTCTAACATATTTATAAGATGATTTCTATGTTGCTTTGTATGTCCCTCCCCCACGGTATAACCCATGCTTTCACTGTATTTGATGTTGGTATAATTTGTGGAGGGGAAGGGAAAAAAACAAATCGTTTTACTAAGGATACAGGCGGACCCATTGCAACAATGAGATATACAAGTCGTTATGTCCAAAAACGAACTTTACAACTTTGGTGGTGGTGGGGGGGAGGGAGGGAGTATGAGAAGGGATGGGAAGGGGAAACAAAGAGGAGGCAACAATGCTTGGTAAGAAATGTACTTGTTATCTTGCCCATGCAATTGTAACTCCTCTGTACGGTATTCTCACAATAAAAAAAATAAATAATAAAAAAAGAAAAAAAAAGCAAGAATGAAAAAAAATGTGAACAAGTATATACTTATATACTTATAATGAGAATGTACAACCACTTTAGAGAATAGTTTGTAGTTCCTCAAAGTAGTAAACATAGAATTACCATATGACCCAGCACTTTCACTTTTAGGTTCATTCTCTATATCACTGGAAAACACCTTTAAGGTAAGTAAGGTCTGCCCCTGGGCCAAGTAAGCCTGTGCTACATCTCCCTATCTCTTGGCTGTTTCCGCCCAGTATCCGTTACCTAGGTAACTGGCACACCTGGGAGCAGTCACCTCCCCCTCCTGCTAGGTCACTTCCTGGGCCATCTCTGGTGATGCCTCCCATCTGACCATAGGAGGGTCCCAGGCCCTGAGATCACGTGCAGATCCAGTGTGGCCACATCTTTCCTCCACCTGGCCACACCTCTTCCTATCCTTGGCCTAGAAAAATCCTGGCCTGGGGGTGGGTCACCCCTTTTTGGCTATGCCTCTCCATTATGCTTGGGGGGGGGCAGCAATTGGGTAAATAAACTTTTTCTGCCTGAATATTGCATAATGTTATCTTCATCAGCTACCTAAAGAAATCTATTTAGTATACCTTACAGTCTACAAATGTCACATCAGCATTTTCGCAAAAGCCAGATAATGGAAAAAGCCTACTGACCCAATGAATGATTAAAGTGTGAACAAAACTAAAAATGATTCAAAATAACTATGCTTTTTGTAATGGCTTTGTTAGATGCTAAATCTAGAAGGATGCTAAGAAACTTGCTTGATAATTTCAGACTATATAACATTCTTACAAAGAACTCTGGGCCAAAGGAAAAGAAATCAAAAGGGAAATTAGAAAATGATGGGAAATAAAAAAATCGCAGTATGTCAAAGTATGTGGAATGCAGCTAAAAGCATTACAGGGTGACATCAAATGCCTATAGCACAAAAGAGATCTCACAGCAATGACTTCAATTGAAAAACAAAAAGTTAAAACAGTTAAGAGCAGAGAAAGGAACTAAAATCAATGAATTAGAAACCAGACAATGGAGCAAACATAGCAGGCTTTGAGATCTGAGAACTAAGATCTAAGAAGCTGATAAGCTGCTTGTCACGTTAGGGAAAAAAGGACACACATTTCTCATTTAGGAATGAGAGAGGTTCACATTTTTAATAGCAATTATAAAAGGACAATATGGGACTATTAACACATTTACATCAATAAATTAGACAATCATCAGACATGTTCATGAACTAACTCAAGAAGCAGTGTGAACTAGAGAGTGCCAGCTGTTTCTAAGGGCAAGGTGAAGAGTCAGGGCTTCAGCTACTTCACAGTATTTTGAATCCAAGTAGGTCAGTTGATTGGAGGGAAAAACCAAGTAAAATTTAATGATCCACTGAATAGTCAGGGAAGGAAATTGGTTAAGAAGTTTATTGGGGAGGACCCCCTCCTCAACCACGGGAACTACAGCAACTGCTCGCAGCTCCCGCAAACGCGCACACGCACCCCACGGACGAGGGCACGCCCCCCCGACTGTTTCCGGCCTGCAGGACAGGCACAGGCCGAACCAGTCCAACTCTCGGCCTCCCTCTATCTCCCTCGCCGCCGCCCCCCTCCTCGCGCCCAGGGCTTTGCGCCTGCGCCTTCTATCAAAACGGTGGAGGAGGCGGTGGCCGGAAGTGCGACCTTTCTCCCGCTGTCTTTCCCTTCCGGGGTCACGCGGATCTGGGTCTCTCTAGGAGGACTCTCTAACGCCGTCTCTCCGGTGACTTTTTGGTCTTCCGCTTTTTTTTTTTTTTCTTTTTTCCTCCGCCGCCCCCAACCTTGCGCGCCCTCGCCGACCCTCCCTTTCTCGTGTCGCTCCTCCCCTGCCAGCCGCGCTCGGGCTGGACTGCGCCTGCCGCCGCTGGAGCTGGGCCTGGCCGTCCCGCGGCGGTGCCACCTCTTCCGCTTTGGGCTCCCAACGCCTGGCCGGGGCCGAGCCGTGGGCCGCGGGGGTCCTCGGGCCTGGGGGCTCCCCGGTGGGCGGCGCCGACGGGGTGCGCTCGGTCCTTCTCCGCGGACAACTTGTGAGTTGGGGGTTTAGGAGAGGGAAGCCTCGGGGTAGGCCCCGGCCGGGGGCGGGGCGGCGGCGAAACTTTCCCGAAACCAGGGTTTGGCTGGGCCGGGGAGGATCGGGCCGGCTGCCGCCGGACCCCCCGGCCGCTCGCCGCTCCCGCGCCGCCGTGCTGTTGGGAGAAGCTTAGCACCCCTTGCTAGTCTCGCTCCCTCTCCCTGCGGCCCGGGTTCCGCGCCGCCGCCGCCGCCCCGGCGCTTCCTCCCTTCCCGAACGGGAAGATCGTCCGGGCGCTCCCGCAGGCTGTTCGCTAAGGCGTCGTCGATCTGAGGTAAATTCGCGGGAGGAGTCTTGGCTCTGCTGCCTCTCACCAAGGCTTTTATTTAAATCTCTTAAGGTTCTTTAAAAAAGAAACAGTCCCGGTCTTCCACTCGACCGGGAAAAGCACCCGGAGGGACGGACCGTCGGAGGAGTTGAACGCCCCTCTTTTCCCGTTCAGCTTTGGTAGACGGGATTCTCATGTCTGTCTCTTTGTATGTAAGAATTTAAAGGACTGTAGGTATCTCATAACTTTTGTGCGTTTCAAAGCGCCCTGTCTGTTGCTTAAGTCTCCGATGAAAATAATAGTTGTTTAAATTTTCAGCTACCTTACCGGATAAGCGGAAAAGAAACCGAAACTGTAGAAGTCAAGCTGGGTTGGCAACTTGTTGTATATCGTGTTTGCTGTGTTGGTTTTTGTGAGGAAAGAAATTACGGTATTTATTTACAAAAGTAGTATGCTACCTGTCGTACAAACAGACTTAGTGACAAGTTATGTAACTACCACAATATATGTACTGCAGGGTTAAAAAAAGTTACATGGATTAACGTGAGGTTCTTAATTTTTACTGATTGTTAGCCAGTAATAGTGATATTACTTTCTTGGCGTAAATAGCCCCAGTTATGTGTGGCCTATAAATGTACTGTAACACATAGGTTCCATGTGAAACAGGTCATTTATTATATCAATAATATGGAGCATTCAGTGGGACCCGTGCAGCTAGATTCTTCGTAACACTTGAGTAGGATTTGTTTATTTATTTATTTACTTATTTCTTTGTTTGCACGGGTACTACTTGAACTCAGGACAGCTTGCCTTTTTTGCTCTGGGCTGGTACTATGCTACTGGAGTTACACTTCTGCTTCTGGCTTTTTGCTAGTTAAATGGAGATAAGAGTCCCAGGGGTTTGTCTGCATGGGCTGGCTTTGAAAGGCAGATCCTCAGATCTCAGCCTCCTGAATAGGTAGGATTTTTGTCCTGACCCCCTGGAGCCCAGCTTGGAATTTTATTCTTAATAAATAAAATGGAACATCCTGTTTGAAACCTGAAGGTAGTTATGACAGAAAGTGAGCAGGATTTAAAAAAAATGAAGAAGATTTAGGGGACCTAAGGCATTGGGATGGAGTAGACAGATGACTTGATTTAGCCAATACAGTTCAGGTTTTTGTGTTAGTGTAGATTCTATTTTCCAAGTAATCGTGACGAAAAAGTTATGTAATTTTGAGTGTTCTATAATTTATGTAGGACAGGTCAAGTTGAGGACAAAAATTTCAGCTTGTAAATTATAGGATCAAATATTGTGTCACTAGGGGTACTTTATAAGTACGTTGCAAATACTCCATATTGTTCACGTATTGATTACAAATAAGCCTGTATAATTTCCTTTTGGGTTAAACTTACTCAAGAAGCAAACTTTAAGATTCTCTACTAAAAGCAGGAAGTAATATAATGGTCTGAAACACAGTTCAAATTTTACTTAGATTTTTTTTTTTCAAGTGGGTACCAATTAAACAGTCTTGAGATTTGAACTCAGGGCTTGAGCATTATCCCTGAGCTGCTTTTGCTCAAGGCTAGTACTCTACCACCTGAGCCACAGCAGCACTTTTGGCTTTTTCTGTGTATGTGGTACTGAGGAATTGAACCCAGGGCTTCATGCATGCTAGGCAAGCACTCTACCACTAAGCCACATACCCAGCCCCAAAGTCACGGTTTTTTTAAACCATTTTTTTTTATTAGGACATATTAGTTATAGGGAGAATAAATTAATTGTGATATTTCTGTACATGTATGGAACAAACTCTGATCAAATTTATCTCCTGTATTACTTTCTCTAATTCTCCCCTTAAAACCATTTCATCAGGTTCTATTGTTCTGCTTTCATACACATCTATGAAGTACTTGGACATTCTCACCTTTCACTACCTTCCCTTATCCTAACTGGTAACTACTTCTAAGGGAAACCTGTTTTACATTCCAGTCATTATATAAAGAATGACTGGAATGTAAAACAGGTTTTACATCTACTAGTGAAGAGGCTTTTCACAAAGAATATTAAGAAAATAGACATTTTGTCCAGTTTTGGTATATTAATATTTTTACTTGACCTTATTTTGTCAGACTATAATAGATGATCATTTTGATGTCATTTTTGTCAAATGTATTAGGAAAAGGAATTGAAATTCAAGTGCTTTTGGTTTACTTTTGTTATCTGTAGGTGGTCATATAGGATCCCTATATTGGGGAACACTCAATGTCATTGGTTAAATTCCCTAGAGATAATTCTGTATTTTGAAAGCTGACCTAGTTAAGATGATTACTTAAGGGCCAGTCATCTGAGGAAAGCCTGACAGATTTTATTTCCCCAAACTGTCAGTGCTTCTTTGGGAATTTTGGATAGGTTAAACTGGATTATAATCATTCTGTACTTTTAAGCCTGGGCTAATTTGGCTATAGTTCTGGGCCACCAGACACCTTATTACTTATACTTAATTTGGATGTGATCATGCAATAAGACAGAAATAAGGTAAGGTTTGGGCCATTAGATCATTCTCAATCTTCAGGTCTGAATGCAGATAACACAGGACCTTTTTGGTCCAGAGGAGAAGGAGCATATTATTTACAGATCTAAATTAAAACACTTAGATTTTAAACTATGAACTGATTTAAATAAACATGAAATGGAACCTTTTTTTTTTCCCCCTGAAAGTCACTCTCTACCTAGATTGGCTTTGAACTCAAGATCCTTCTACCTCAGCCTTACAAATGTCTCTGACTTAGCCTCACAAGTGCTAAGATTACAGACAAGTACCACGACACTCAGCTTTGAAACATTTTTTTTCTAAATATATTGCTTTGTTTTCTAAATATGCTTTTTCTAAATACAAATTGGTACTGTTGCTTTGGTCTCTAATATCTGTATTCTAACAATGAGATAAGCAAAATTTGTTATAGCATATCAGTAACATTTTCTCATAAATTCTTTCAAGTAGGAATTATGCTTTAAGGTCAGGGAAACAATAAAGAGTACTTAAGCTTTGTCTGAACCTTGGGCAAAGGGTAGAATAGCTAGTTAATTGCTAGACTTGAATCTGGCAATCCATACTTATTGAGTGTACTTTCAATAAGGGATTTCTTAGATTACTGTTCAGTTCAAGATATATTTCCATTTCGGAGCAGTGTATGTCAAGGATTATGGGTTGGCTGATAGTGATTTTCTTCTTTAAAAAAAAATCTCTTATAACATGAAGAAAGGCCTCCTATAGAAAGTTGACACTTATTTCCTAGATGTGTAGTGTTTTGTATCTGGCCCATTGAAATCTGGAATGAGATCTGATGATGGTCCCAGGATTCCAGTCCACAGTCTCTATGTACCTTGGACTGAAGAATCTCACTGTCTTTGACCAACCTAAGGAATTTTAATCATACAGAAATAAAAATATAAGGAACAAAGTTTGTATAAGGGACTTGCTAAGTTCTCCATAGGTCTTTCTTATATATGTTAACTCTTGAGAGTTTTTCCAACATTCCTTGTCTCAGTCCCTAGAGACATAAATACATCAGTTCTTTTAACTGGCTAGGTGTTGAAACAATCATCTGTTAAAAGAGGTAAAAAGCTTCAGTGCTCATTTATTTGATTTAAATTTACTGTAAATGAAAGTTTAACACTTTGTATCCCATTTTATTCTCCATGTAAATATGTTACATAGTTAACATACAAAATGAAATATAATAAATGGTTTATAATGATATCACAACTTTTTTGTTTACATCAGTGTGTTTAATGAGCATATTATTATTATTATTATTTTGTCTCTGTCATTGGGCCTGAACCTGGCCTGGGCACTGTCCCTCAGCTCTTCAGCTCAAGGCAAACGCTCTACCACTTGAGTCACAGCGCCACTTCCAGCTTTTTCTGCTTACTTGGTGCTGAGGAATGGAACTCAGGGCCTCATGCATGCAAGACAAGCACTTTACCACAGAGCCACCTTCCCAGCTCACTGAGTATATTATTGTAAGAATCAAGTATATAAATTTTTGTTAATATTACCTTGTGAGTAATGTAAATTGAGTAATTCATTAGTTTAGTTTTGATTAACTGCTTTTCTGTATTTCTATAATTTTTCTCTTGTTAGCAGAACTTTCTTTCAAATACACCAGATATTGGAGGAGGAATGGTTTAAGTGGTAGAGATCCTGTGGTTAAGTCCTAGTACCCTAAATGTAAATAAATAAATAGATCTGAAAATATATCAGAAGTCCCAAGTGTTTTTTTTTTTTTCTAACAAATTTTTGTGTAGCTTAGGCTAGCCTCATATTGAAGGCTAGGTAGTATGTACCATCAAACTCAGCCCAGTTATTATTTTTATTTGGCCATCCTCCTGCTCTTAGCTGTGAGCTGTTAATTTCTTTTTGTCTTGATTCTTGGAATTTACTTTGGTTTTGCCCTACATAGGATTTCCCTTTTCTTACACCTCAGGTTTGCCCATTCCTTTTTCACTATCCTCTTCTCTCTCCTCCCCTTTTTCTTTTCCCCTTTCCTTTTTCTTTTTTCCTCTTTTCCTTTTCCCCTTCCTTTCCATTCTCTTCAATTCTCTCTTTTTCCTTTATTATTCTTTCCTCTCTCCCCTCCTTCTAGTGTTTAGTAATATAGCCCAGGCTAGCTTCAAACTCATTATCTTCCTTTTTTAGTTTCTCCTCAGTGCTGGAATTACAGAAGTATACTATCATGCGGGGCCTTCCCTCCCTCCCTCCCTCCCTCCCTCCCCCCCCTACCTCCCTCCCTCCCTCCCCCCCCTACCTCCCTCCCTCCCTCCCTCCCTCCCTTGTGGGGCTTGAACTTTAGGTGTGGGCCCTGTCCCTCAGCTCTTCAGCTCAAGGCCAAGGCAAGCGCTCTGCTGCTTGAGCCACAGTATCACTTTTGGTTTTCTAGTGGCTTATTGGAGATTAGAGTCTCTCAGACTTTCCTGCCCGGCTGGCTTTGAACCATGATCCTCAGATCTCAGCCTCCTGAGTAGCTAGGATTACAGGCGTGAGCCACTGGCGCCCGTCGTGGCCTTCTTTTTCTATTTACTCTTCATATCTAAAAAAATGTTCTTGCATTGATAACATAGCTAAGAATAGCATTTTGATTTGAGAACATTTTTCTCAGAGCTTTGAAAGAATTCATATTTTGTGGCTTTTACTGTTGCCTTTAGGAAGTTTAAATGCTTTTATTGATTGCTAAACCTTGTTGTTTTTAACATTTTCCTCCTCTGGAATATATTTTTTTGGCAAGGGAGTGTGTAGGTGGCACTGGGAATTGAACTTAGGGCCTGTGCTTCCTATTAAGGTCCTCTACCATTTGAGCCACTCCTCTTTTCTTCTGGAAGATTTTTATAAACTTTTTTTCTCCTTATATTCTGAATGATAATGTCTCTTGGTATGTCTGTATATGTCTGTCTCTGTCTGTCTACTTTCTTTTCTCCTTCCTTGTGTGCTTTATATTTCTTTGGCCCTTCTAGGAAGTGGAATCTTTCAGTTCTAGATAGTTCCTTGTTATATCTGTTTTGGTAATTTCCTTCAATGGGTTGGTGTTGAAGTTCTTTATTGCTTCATGAATGTTCCCTCTTCCTCAGGAACAGAATCTTTTTGGAAGTCTTTCAAAAAACTTACATAGAAGCTGGGTGATGGTGGCTCCTACTTGTAATCCTATCTACTCAGGTGGCTGAGATCTTAAGAATTGTGATTCAAAGCCAGCCCGGGCAGGAAAGTCTGTGAGACTAACCTCCAATAAACCACCAGAAAACTGGAAGTGGCGTTGTGGCTCAAAGTGGTACAGCAGTACTAACATTGAGAAAGCTCAGGGACAGTGCCCATATGCCCTGGGTTCAAGCCCACCAAACAAAACAAAAACTTAGGTAGACTTGCAGAGAAAGTTCTGTTTTTATAAATTGCGAGTAATATACATCCCTTTTTTCTTTGTCAGATCTGTAAGATTCAAATCCTGGAGTCAGATTGTTACATGGTGGCTTATTGTCTTCATGTGAATTAGACTGAGAATACATGTGAAAATCCGGGATTTGTTAAATATACCTATTGTATGATGTTTATTGTTAGGATAAGCAGTAATAACGGCTTTTAAAAATTGTTGATATAGGTAAATTTAGGGTAAATTTATTAGAAAACTAGAAACATTTAATAATAGTATTAATTTGGATTTAGAATTCATTAACAGGTTTTCTTTTTTATTTTGCTTGGGGGGGGGGGTACCTCCAGTAGAATTAAAAAGACATATTTAAACTTTCTTTCTTTCTTCTTTTTTTTTTTTTTAACAGTACTAGGGATTGAACTCAGGGCTTTGAGTTTGCTAGGCAAGCACTTTACCACTTAAGTCATGCCTCTAATTCTAAACTTTGAAAAATAATCTTGCAGATGAAACCAGTAACTTAATAACCAGTTGTTTTAAGTAACAGGTAACAGTTATCAAAAAGTTTAGTGTCTAAGTTATAATAATTTAGTATTTTTTAAAAATTATTACAGGTAGAAGAATACATGTTCACTTTCAGTAGACAAGAGCATGTTCCCAAACTCAATTTTGGGTCGTCCACCCTTTACTCCAAACCATCAACAGCATAACTTCTTTGCCCTGTCACCAACTCTTTATTCACCTCAGCAGCTTATAGATGCACAATTCAACTTTCAAAATGCAGAGTAAGTATGCTGCTATATTGGCCCGTGTAATTTAATTATGTTTTTATATGACACAACCCCTTTTTGTATGAAATATTTGAAGGTAGAGAAAAATGTTATTTTCTTTTCTCCAGTAAAGTGTTTAGTTTTCTGAAATTATTTTTTGTTCTTAACAAGAATATATGTATTATTACTCTTGTTTGTGTTTTGGTAGTTTGTCTAGAGCTGTGTCCTTACAGCAGCTGACATATGGAAGTATCAGTCCAATACAGACCTCAGCGTCTCCATTATTTCGAGGAAGGAAGTAAGTATCTCAATTATTTGGAAAGAAAGTTGTTTAATTTTCATTTTTTATTGTTACTTTGTAAAGGTGATGTACAGAAGGGTAACAGTCACATATCAGACAATGAGTACATTTCTTTTTGAACTCTCCTAGTTTTTCTTTCCTATTCCCACCAAGTTCATTTTTGATGTATTATCTAGTAAATACCCCTGCATTTGTTCACCCTTTACGTCTCCATTTCTGTGTTCCTCACCTTAGAAATTTTTCAGTTTCAAGAACTATATAATTGCATAAAATTTTATAAATATTTTCTTTAGATTTTTTTCCCCTAGGGTCTGTGCAATCAGATTAGTAATAGAATTTAAGAATTTTTGTGTGTTTAAAAATATTTAGGGATTCTTTCATTTTTGTTTTTGTTTTTTAAGTTTTAGAATGAAACTATTTCTTCAAAGAAATTATTATTACTATTTTTTCTGGTATCTGGGTTTAAACTCAGGACCTCTTTTACTTGGTTTTCTTGTTTATGGCTGGAGCTCTACCATTTGAGTCATAATTCAGTCCAGCACTTTGTTGGATAATTGAAGGTAGACTTTCTGTGGACTTTTCTACCTGGGCTGGCTTAAAATCATGATTCTTTAGACCACCAACTCTTTGTTATCCTAGGATTACAGATGTGAGACACTGATGCTGGCAGAAAATTACTTTGAGATTTTTTTTTAGTCAAATCAGATGATTCTGTCTTAACTAGGGTTGCCATAAAACGAAGTACACAAAGTGGTCAACAGAGCCTTATTTTTCTCAGTTCTGCAGGTTGGAAGTGCCAATCATTTTATTCGCAAGGTTGATGCTTTTTGAGACCTAACTCCTTATAAATGACTACTATCTTGCTGTGTCCTCATATGTTCATCCTTTTGTGTTTTTCATGTCCTAATCTCTTCTGAGGACATCCGTCACATTAGATTACAGCACAACCTAATTTACTATAACTTAATTGTCTTTTTAAAGGCCCTATCACAGTACTGTCACATTCTGAGATGCCAAGGCTTTAGGATTTTAATACCTCAGTTTCAGAAGAGGATTTAGTTTTGCTCATGTGGTTCTCTTAAGAGTAAACTTCACATGTTCTTTTGATTTACCTAAACTTTATATAGGGTTAGGGTTCTTTGAAAACAAGTACTATTTCAGTAAAAATTTTAGCATGATCTAAAGTTTTTTCTAGTTAAGTTAGAAGCCAAATAATTTTAACTATTCTAATTAAAAGAATTCATGTAGCTCGGCACCAATGGCTCATGCCTGTAATCCTAGCTACTCAGGAGGCTGAGAGCTGAGGATTACGGTTCAAAGCCAGCCCTGGCAGGAAAGTTTGTGAGACTCTTTATCTCTAGTTAAACCACTAGAAAACCCGAAGTGGCACTGTGGCTCAAGCGGTAGAGTGCTAGCCTTGTGCTGAAGAAGATAGTGCCCAAGCCCAGAGTTCAAGCCACAGGACCAGAAAAAAAAAAAAAAAAGAATTCATGTATCACAAGAAAATACAATAGAGGTGCTGGGAAGGTGGCTCAGTGGTAGAGTGTTTGCCTTGCATGCATGAGGCCCCTGGGTTCAGTTCCTCAGACCACATAAGCAAAAAGAAAAAAGCCAGAAGTGGCGCTGTGGCTCAAGTGGTAGAGCGCTAGCCTTGAGCTGAAGAGCTGAGGGACAGGCCCAGAGTTCAGGCCCCACGACCAGACCCAAAAAAACAAACAAAAAAAAATACAATAGAACTTGATAGATGTACAAATATATGACAATATAAGAGAATACTGTCTAAACTGTCTAAACATTCTATGTTTTAAAATTAATAAGAATCAGTCACGATGTAGTAGGCATTAATTTAAAGACTATAAGTAATGATTAAGTTTTATAGTACTTCATGAAAAGGTAGATAATGTTATCTCTTTGCTATTTAGGAGAAAGCTGAAACAGAAGTTAAGTAGTTACTCAGTTTAAGTGGCATAGCTGTGCAAGTTCTTCAGAGTAGTCATGGGGGGGGAACATTATGTAATGGTTCTAAATGTACTAACTTCATATTTTTATTTTTTGGAAATTGCTTTGATACTCAATTTGTGAATCATGAGTGAAAATGTTTTATTCATGTTAAATATATTTTAAAAACTAAAATTGGTATTATTAGAAGATATTCAGTTTAGATCGCTCTGAACTAAATTTTAGGTTTAGAAATATTAGTATACTTGGTTAACACTGTAAATTTTAACTTACGAGTAGGAGTTTCAGTTACTCTGTGGATCTGTAAAAAAGAGAGGAGCTGGCAAGATGCCAAAGGAGCACTATCATTAAAAAACTTCTGAGGGTTTAGGATTCACAGAATTCTAGATCTTCAAAGGAATTTTAAACCTTTACTATGGCATAATTTGCTGCCTAAATGAACAATTTAGAATAATAAAAATTTATATATCAAGTATTTGCTTTTCCTCTGCCTATTTCTGCTTTTTTTCTTCCTTCTCTACTTCTTTGTGTTAATAGTTAATTAGAGAGAAGTCTTATGGCTGCCCAGGCCAGTTTTGAAACCAAGATCTTCAGATTTCAGCCTCTTGAGTACCTGAGATTACAGATGTGAGCCATTGGTGTCCTGCAACAAGCCTTTTTTATATATAGCACTCATATTAAAATTTGGATCTGTGGTTCTTGGTGATTCTAGAAGTTTTTCTGCAAAGTTTTCATTGCTGAAATCAAATATTGGGGTAGGAAACGACTGACTCCAGTACATTCATCAAGATTTTTTTCTATATAGATTTTTACGATGTCTTTCTCTCTCTCTCTGTCTCTCCCCCCTCTCACTCTCTCCTCTTTTCTTTTCCTTTTCCTTTCTTCCTCCCTCCCTCCCTCTCTCTTTTTCTCTCTTTCCTTCTTTCTTTCTTGTCCTGGGGTTTGAACTCAGGGCCTTGAGCACTGTCCTTGAGCTTCTTTTTCTCAAGGCCAGCACTCTAACCCTTGAGCCACTGTACTACTTCAAGCTTTTTCTGTTTATGTGGTACTGAGGAATCAAACCCAGGGCTTCATGGATGCTAGGCAAGCATTCTACCACTAAGACACATTCCCACATTCTATTTATTTTTTACTACTCATTTTCTAAGGTATTGAGAGCATTTTTATTTGTGATAAAAATGGATATTTATAGTTCATTATAGAATTAATTGGAACTAACTCTAACCTTACTGGAAGAGGTATAATATTGTCATGTGATGTGGTATTTATGTAATGTGGTATTCATGTATTTTTAATTGTATTTTGTTGAAAAGTTTTTCTTTAATCACTAAGGTACATTCTTTGTTTTCAGGAGATTAAGCGATGAAAAAGGCCTTCCTCTTGATGGTAAACGGCAACGTTTCCATTCACCTCACCAAGAACCAGCCATAGTTAACCATATAGTGCCTTTGTCAGCTGAACGAAGATTCTCAATGCCGCCATTGTTTCATACACACTATGTTCCAGATATAGTCAGATGTGTTCCACCTTTTCGAGAAATACCACTTTTAGAACCTAGAGAAATCCCTCTGCCTGAGGCTAAAGATAAGGTAATAATGCAGATTTAGTTTTACCTTTTAGAAGTTTGATATAAAGAATGTATTAAATAATCAGGAGTATCCAATGTCTTTATCGAGTACAGTGTGCCTTTTTTGCACTGTTTGCAATACTGTATAATCCAATATTCTCTCAAAATACTATTTTGATTTTTGGTAGTGACTATAGGTAAGTGAAACTGTTAGATTTTACCTTACTAATAAAATTTAGGAGTAGAACCCCAAATATTTAATTTCTTGGTTTAAAAAGATTCATCTTACAAAAGATAGTTTTCATATTGTCATTGTAAAAAAGTTAACATTTTCTTCCTTTGCACTATTAACGTAAGAAGTTAGTGAATAATCAGATTTAGCAAAAATATTAGTGCCAGGTATGGTGGCTTATACCTGTAATACTAGCTGGTCAGGTCTTGCTTCAAGGCCATCCAGGGCAAAACATTTGAGATCCCATCTCAACTAATAAACTAGACGTGGTAGTAGGCACATGTCCTCCTACCTATGAGGGAAGCATAAAAGAGAGGCTTATGGCCCAGTCTGGCCAGGCATTACTCCTTGGATTCAAACCCTAGGGTGACAACATAAAACAACAACAGAAATTCAGTAATAAGAATATTTAGTATTTCAGATAAATGAAATGCAATGATTTAAATAATCATTTTTGGAAAATTATGTTAACATTGAGAACAGTGAGTTATATCTAATAGTAGAAGCATATTAGTACTCTTGTAGATAAAAGTTAAACATGTAGATGATTGGGAAGGATTTATAATCTAAATATCTATGTACATTCTGTCGTATTGTTTATAGTTTAATTTGCTGCTATTCATAGTTGCCCTACTCACACTTGAGAAGTAGGACATTTGTAAACCAAGGAGGAGCTGGAAGAGAATATAATGATTATATTTTGGTCATGTTTAAGTTCTTAGCACCCAGAAGAATATAGCAAATGTAAAGAAAGTAGTGGGGCAGAAAAGCAATACTTGCTTCATTCTTTCTTGTATTGCTTTTTTATTCCTCTATTATTCTTTTGTTATTAATTGAGTTATAGTTGTACCATAAAATGTACTCTTTCTGTCACCTGCTTTTTTAAAAAAAATTGGGTTATTTGTCTTTTTGTTGTGGAGTTTTAAGAGATATTTATATATTCTAAATATTAGTTTCTTAAGTATACTGAGGGGCTGGGAAGATGGCTCAGTGGTAGAGTGCTTGCATGCATGAGGCCCTGTGTTCGATTCCTCAGCACTACATAAGCAGAAAAAAGCTGGAAATGGCTCTGTGGCTCAAGTGATAAGGCGCTAGCCTTGAGCTGAAGAGCTGAGGATAGTACCCAGGCCCAGAGTTCAACCCCCATGACCAACCCCCCCCCCCCCAAAAAAAAAAAAATAGAACAAAAAGAAGTGTATTGATTTGCAAAATTTCTGTGATTTGTTTCTCTTCTTTCTTGACCATGCCCTTTGAGGCATAAACTCTGTTCAGTTTGATAGAGTCCAGTGCTTGTACTATTAGTGGTGAATCCTCTAAATGTCTGATTGAGTTCAGAGTCATGATGATCAATGCTTATGTGCTGTAAGATTTTTATAATTTTAGTTTTTACATTTAGGATGCTGGTACATTTTCAGTTAAAATTTTTGTTTTTTTTTTTTGGGTCCGGTCGTGGGGCCTGAACTCTGGGCCCAGGCGCTGTTCCTCAGCTCTTCAGCTCAAGGCTAGCGCTCTACCACTTGAGCCACAGCGCCACTTCCAGCTTTTTTCTTTTTTGCTTATGTGGTGCTAGGAATCGAACCCAGGCCTCAAGCATGCAAGGCAAGCGCTTTACCACTGAGCCACCTTCCCAGACCATCAGTTAAATTTTGTATATGATAGAAAGTAGGGGTCCACTTTTATTCTCTTGATGTCAGTCCAGTGTCCAACATAATTTGTTGAAAAGACTATTTTCCATCTCAGCATTTCTTTCACTATGAAATAAGGATAGCTAGGCAAAATCAGTGGAAGAGGGTTTGGAAAAAGGAAAATAAAATGGTTATCTCTATTTGGGACCTTTTGGAATTCTACCTCCTTCCCCTTTCTTTCTTCATTGTTCGTTTTCCAGTAAAAATATATTTTTGGGATAATATAATAAAAAAGCATGTGGTATAAATTCTCTGAATATGTAAACATTTACTGTATATTAGTTTTTAATATTTATGCCAATAAGGTCTATTTTGTATAGTGGTATTATGATTAGACAATTGAAGCTTTATTTTATATATATTTATATGTTTGAAGCTAACTCTACTATAACTGAATAGATAGATGATCCATAGTTAAGTGCTTTGTAGAGAGAAACACAGTTAATTCCCCCCATCCCCCCCTCCAATCATGGGGCTTGAACTCAGGGTCTGGGCACTGTCCTTGAGTTTTTTTGCTCATAATACTCTACCACTTTGAGCCACAGCACCACTTCCAACTCTATAAACAGAAAATATTAATTAGTTCTGCCTAGGCATTAGGCAGATGTTGGATTTCAATAAATTTAATAACATATAATTCATGTTACTCAGTATAAAGCATCTGGTAAAATATGATGTCCTATCAATAAGTTTTTTTTTGTGTTGTATAGGAAAGAGTTGTCCTAAATCTAATATTTTTGGAATTAGGCATTTTCTCAGAGGGATAATCAGATTTTGCAGTTGAACCAATTTCTTTGAGTACTACTTTCGTCCTGTCTAATTGTGGGCGAAAGAAGGCAGGCAGTTTTGTGTGCTCTGGATTTGTTCTTTGAGTGAATATTTTTTGTTTTCTTTTTTTTTTTTTTTTTTGAGACAGGGTCTTGCATGTATCCCAGCCTGGCCTCAACTGTGATCCTTCTGCTTCCACTTTTTAGTGCTGGGATTACAGGTGTGTACCATGATGGCTGGGTTAAGTGAATACTTTTTCAACAAAACTAAGGTTTATTGGTGTTTCTACTCTTTATTATTCTCCTTGTTATATTTAATCAATAACCACATGATGTGGATATTATCCTAATTTTATTGAAGCTCAAAAAAATTGCATAACTTGATCAAGATCACAGCTAGTAAGTGTCAAAACCAAAATTTGCCCTCTGTCTTTAAAAGTACATAGAAAAGGAATTAAACCTGCTTTTAATCAAGGATAGGGAGACCATATTCTTCAAATTAACTGTAATGCCAGGTCATCTGTAGAACACTAATAACTAATATTTTATTGAATGTGTGTCTTTACCAGCAACATGCTCATCAGTTTGTATCAGTTACCTCTGTTTTCCCCTGTATAGTGTAAAATGAATAGTTTATGTTAGATAAAAGGAAGGTAGTGGTTTGGGGTCTTGGATGCTCAATAGAAAGCCTCTGAAGGTTTTGAGTACAGAAGATAACACAGGTATATTTTTAGGGGGATAGTTCTTGTAGCACAGTAGAATGTGGTTTTGAATGAGATGACCTAGAAAATGGATAATTTTTTAATGCTATTAATGCAACTGGATGGGAGGTGTTGAACAGTTGTGTCAGATGGTAGTAGAAATGATAGAAGAGAGTACCTAGGGAAAATGGATAGACTAAGGGAAAATACAGAGAAACATGAGTAAATCCAGTGATTTCATTCTTGTCTACCAATAGAGTTCAGGACCCATGATTTGGGGTGTGTAAGTTGATTGAGGAAATAATTAGGAGGTAATTTGGAACAATGGAAAAATTTGCTATAATATTTGTGGTATAAGAAACTTTACATTCTACAAATATCCTGCTAAGTATATAGGACTTATGAGGAATAGTGTTACAGTAGACTACTCAAAAATAATTTTGAGTTGCAAAAATAATTTTGTAGTCAGAACACCATCAAGAATAATTGAGCTGGCTGGTGACTTACACTTGTATTTCTAGCTACTTAGGAGGCTGAGATCTGAGGATTGAGGTTTGAAGCCAGGTGGAGCAGAAAAGTCTGAAGCTTTAATCTCCAGTTAACAAGCAGAAAGTTAGAAGTAGAGTTGTGATTCAAGTGGTAGATTGACAGCCTTGAATTTAAAGCTATGAGAGCAAGAAGCTCTTGAGTTCAAGCCCCATGCCACACACATGCCCACAACCATACAAAAAGTAACAATTGATATCTTGGAAAATTGCTTAGATAACCCCAATCAAACAAAACAATAATAATAGATACCTTAGAAAATTGCTTAGGCAGTCCAGGCAGACAGCTTAGCATGGATAACATGCTCTGAATATTCAAGATAGAGTTTATGAGATAGGCACTGAGATAAGTGAATTAGAAAGTGGACCTTTTGAGTAGAAGCTGCTGTTAAGTCAGAGGAAAAGGTGTCTTAGATATATAAGGACTCTTGCCTTACAAAATTCCCAGAGCTATTTTATTTATTGTGAAGATTATAGTTTTTACAGATTCTGTTCTATGTACAAATTACATATAAAACCTCTTCAGTGTTACATTAATACCCTACACCGATTTTCCAATTCCTTATAATAGCTTACCAATACTGTAGAAAAAATGTTCTGTAACTGAACTGATTGATATGTTTGGAGTTCAGAAATAAAGTCAAGGCCATAGACACATGTTCAAAAACATCTTAATATTGACAAGTAAAACTCCTGAAATAGATTTGATTTTTTTTTTTTTTTTTTCAGCTTAAGACCTTGTACTTGCTAGGCAGGTATTCTGTCACTTTTTTATGCTTAGGTAGGTAATCTATCACTTGAACCACACCTTTAGCCTTTTTATGCTTTAGTTATGTTTTAGGTAGAGTCTTTTGTTTTTTTGTCCAGATTGTTCTTTGTTTTTTTGTTTTTTGGGTCCGGTCATGGGGCCTGAACTCTGGGCCTGGGCGCTGTCCCTCAGCTCTTCAGCTTAAGGCTAGCACTCTACCACTTGAGCCACAGCGCCACTTCCGGCATTTTTCTTTTTGCTTATGTGGTGCTGAGGAATCGAACCCAGGGCCTCTGGCATGCAAGGCCACCTTTCCAGCCCCGTCCAGATTGTTCTTGAACTGTAAACCTCTTACTTAGGTCTTCCTATTAGGTGAATGACAGGCTTTACTACCACATCTGGTTTGTTGGTTAAAATTGAATCTGTTAACTTTTTGTCTTGGCCAACTCTAAACTATGATCCTCTCATCTCTGTCTCTGAGTAGTTGGGATTATAGATATGTGTACCATTCCTAGCCTTAGATTTGATTTTCTTTATTTTAGTGTCAATAGGTATTTTTATTTATTAGTACTAGGCACGGGAAATATAATGTTTTGCTAAATATACATGGTCCTTTTATCACCTATGTACAAGTTAGCCATTAAAAATAATCATGCAAGCTGGGAGTCAGTGTCTTATACCTGTAATCCTAGCTATTCAGGAGGCTGAGATATGAGGATCGTGGTTTGAAGCCAGCCTGAGCATGAAAGTCTGTGACAATTTTATTTCCAGTTAACCAGCAAAATGCCAGAATTTGAGCTGTGGTTCCAAGTGGTAGATTGTTAACCTTGAGCTTTTTTTCAGGGACAATGCCCACCCAGGTCCTGAGTTCAACCCCAGGACCAACTCTCCCACCCCCAAATCATTGCAAATCATAATTTTACTTAGAGTTTTGTAAGTACTATAATGGAAAATTACTGAGTGTTGGGAAAATATATTTTGAGATCTCAGAGAAAGCCTTCTGGAAGAGCAGTGTTTGAGCTGAGATCTGAAGGATGAGTTAGGAGTTAGTTAAAGAGTGATAGGGTTGAGAAGAAAATGGAAATAGCTTATTTGAAGGTCCTAACCAGAAAGGATTATGAAATATGAGAACAGAAAACAGACCCAGATGAGACATAGGTTTGGTATATTAGTTGGAAAATAAGTGAAGATGGGTCAGGAGAAGTTGGGGAAAGGGAGAACCAAATCATACAAGGCTCCTTTGTCTTCAGTCTAAAGTTATTCAGTCTAAGTTATTCAGAAAGAGAAGAGTTATGATTAATTTCATTGCAGTATAGAAAGCAGATAAAGTTGAGCAGGCCTGGCTTTGGGGAAATTAAATTCCAGGTGAATGTTAATAGTGCTGTCACAGATTTGAGTCACTGGATCTGGGCTCTATATACATGGCCAGTCCTGGGAACTTGAGCTAATCTGTTATGAACTTATGAAATCAATCTGGGTTTATGTCATCAGTTCTTCCTACAAGTCAGATGGATGATTGAACTAGCACTGTCTGATCAGTCTGATACTTGTATGATCAGACTAGCACTGTCATTTTCTGAGGGTTTTAGGGATTACAGGTAAGCAGGACTTAGGCTATATGTTACAAGTTGTTCTGTTAATGTCAGAAGTACAGCATGTGATTCCTTATCAGTATCTAAGCCTAATTCAGTGCTTAACAACTATATCTGTGCCTTGAATTAAGAAGTACTGTTTTAAGAGAAAGGGATAGGTTTAAGCTGTATTTGGAGAATGAATGATAGGATCAGATTGCAGTGTGTGTGAGCCTTTGCAATATTGATGTTTTAGACCTGCTCTCCTTGGTATTAAGGGGCAATCCTATGCATTCTAGGATATTGAGAAAGTTCTTGGCCTCTGCTTACTAATTAGTTGCCACTAGTCCTTAGTTGTAACACTATGACAACCAAAAATATTTGTAGTCATTTTCAGTTGTCATGCTGAAGGCAAAATTGCCTTCAGTTGAGAATGTATGGATTAAAGATAGAGGAGAAGCTACTGATAATTAGTCATAGTGTCTGGCATCAATGCCTTATGGTATACTTCATTGAGAAATGAAACCAATATATAGATAATGATTGTCCAAGAAGAGAGTTTGTGTCCAGGACTGAAATAGGTTGAAGAAAGTAAACTAGGAAAATAGAACCTTAAGAGTATGCATAACTGTTTTGGAAAATTTGGCTTTTGAAGAGAAGGAGGTAAAAGTGGAATGTTAGGGCAAGGCTTTTTTGAAATTTTAAAGTGGGAGAAACTTCAGCCACTTACAACTATTAATGGGAAAGATTCAATACAAAGGGAGGAATTTGGAAAGAAAAGAATCATGAATGAAATTTCCTGGAAGGTGAACAGGGGGAGGGTCTTGTCTGTAGGCAGAGTGATTGGCTTTTGGATAAAAGCCTTTTGGAGGATAGGAAAGAGGATATGGGCCTTTATAGAGAGGTTTATAGATATGGCTCGAAGAAGTTAATGGGATGCCCGAGGCTTCTTCCTTTGTTCTCTGAATTACTATGCAAGGTCATGTGTTATGAATGAAAAGGATGAAGTAGAATATCAGAAGTTTGAAAATATTAGAGAAGGTGGAAATTGCATATGCTGAATTCAAGAACTCAAGACTGGCTAGAGAAAAGAGTAGCGGATGTTTGAAACAACTCAGTTAAGACTGGTACTGATAAATTTATTATTAACTGAATCTAGAAGTTCCAAAAATATTTAAACTACTTCGAGGATTCATATTTTGTAAAACTAGAGAATTGAATTTGTGCTTCATTATAAGATTGTTACTCTAGTCATTCTCATTTTCTTATAAAAACTTTGAATGGGAATTGATTAGAGTCTTCAGGCATTATTTCTCCATTTTTTTCTTATATCTTCCCATTCTTGTTCCTCTTTCTATGATTTCATTTTTCTTTCTGTTATTTATGTTTCATGAGATTTTTTTTTTTTATTGTAAAGATACTATACAGAGGGTTACAGTTACATGAGTGAGGTAATGAGTACACTTCCTCTTGAACATTGTTACCCCCTCCATTGTTTTCCCTCTACTATCCCCTCCCTCCCTCCCTTCCCCGAGGTTCTTTTTTTTTTTTTTTTTTTTTTGATTGTGATTAAGTGATTACATAATTTCAAAGTCACAAGTTCATTCTAACTTTCCTGGAGCAAATTGTCTATCACAGTCTGTAATATATAACAGTGTTCACATGTTATATACCATATTTGTGATCAGCAGCATGGGGATATTTAGTAGTGGTTCAACCAGATGAGCGGGAGTTCTTTGTTTCTTAAGTCCTGTTAGTTTTGTCGTATCACCTAACCTTTTGGATTTAGCATCCACTTATCAGGGAGACCATGTACCGTTTGTCTCTTCGTTCTTGGCGTTTCATGAGATTTTCATGTATTACTTTTAGATGGTACAGGTTAGGCTGGCTAGCTTTCTAAGTCTGGCTCTAGGCCTCTTGAGTTCTATATATTATCTCTCTGTGTAGTATTTTCTCTTCTTCCCTGCTTTTATCTAGATCAACAATATTCACTTCCATATTGGGCATTTTTGGGTGAAACAGTCTTCTGTGAGGGTAGGTTATCCTATTAATTATGGGATGCTATTATTCATAGATTAACTTTGAGCATGAAAAGATACAGTAATTCATCTGGTGGAATTATCTTTCAGAACTGTTAATTTTGCAATCTTTGTTAGGAAGATATAGCTCTTCAATTTTCTTAATAAACTTTCATGTGAATTTAATATACCAGATAAAATGAGGTAAGTATAAGGGGCTTGAAGAAAACATTAATGATTTTGGAATGGTATTGTGAAAAGGGGGAACAGGATCTTGGCAGCCGCATGAAAGTGGTGGTAAGGAAAGCTAAGAGCACCTAACCTTATGATGACACTTAGGCTATAAATTTGAATGACTTCCAAGTTTTAAAAAATGTTATCTCAGGCTGGGAAGGTGGCTCAGTGGTAGAGCGCTTGCCTTGCATGCCTGAGGTCCTGGGTTCAATTCCTCAGCACCACATAAGCAAAAAGAAAAAAAGCCAGAAGTGGCGCTGTGGCTCAAGTGGTAGAGTGCTAGCCTTGAGCTGAAGAGCTGAGGGACAGTGCCCAGGCCCAGAGTTCAGGCCCCACGACTGGACCAAAAAAAAAAAAATGTTATCTCTTAGAGACTTAGATGTAAGAGCAAAGAAAGTGATTTTTCTATTAACTTAAGGTTAGAATTTGCAGAATATGACAAGGAGACTATGTTGCTAAGACATAAGAGAATGTTTCAAGGGTGCATTTTAGAAGGAAATTAACTGCTTTGGGAAGGAAACCATACCATTGAGGTGCTGACAATGGGAGGGAAAGGTTGAGTGAAGGGAATCTTGATCTCTTGTGTGGATCAAGAGCCATGCATGAGGATAGTGTGAAAGTGAGAGGCAGGGTATTGAAACTAATAAGGTGGTATATTGGATTAAAATCTCAGAGCTAGAGCAGTTTCAGTTTATTGTAAAGACCACATTATAGCTATTGAGTGTATACTGATGAAAAATATTAGAGGATAAGAAGTCCAGGAATATGTAGAATATGTTGTAATTAGTAAGTATATCTTACCACAGATTAAGAAAAAAAGAAAACCACCTGTGGGGATGACAGAGAGTAGGGAAGGAGAGAAAAGTGTTAAATCACGTAGGTAGCTAAACAAAGAAGGTCAGTAGGTAGCATCTTCATTTGAAGATGTTGGGCTTTAGAGTGGTATTATTGGAATGGAGGGGAGAGTGGTTTTTTTTATGAGCATAGGAGCTATGAATTTACTACAGTCTGTTTCACCAATGTGACTTTAATGGATGGGGCAAATTTCTTTAAAAAGTAAAGTAGTGAACATCTAGGATGTGCTACTCATGTGGTTTCTGTTGATTATTCTTGTTTTTATGACCCTTTAAAATGAGCAAAAAAACCCATTTTACACTTAGAACAAATAGTGATGAAGAGTTATAGTTGTTGATCCATAATTTTTATTATGAATTGTCTGTAACTACTTTTTTGTGACTTGTCAGTGATATTATACTTTGTAAGATTTGTCTGGTAATTATTCCACATTTTTGAACAAAACTTACTTTTGTGTGTGTGTGTGTTGAATTCAAGTTGAGTCAGCAGATATTGGAGTTATTTGAAACATGTCAGCAGCAAGTAAGTGACTTAAAGAAGAAAGAACTCTGTCGAGCGCAGCTGCAGAGAGAAATTCAACTCTTATTTCCACGTATGTTGCTCTGTTTCACATGTCCTTTATATCTGAGTATTTCTGTTTTAAATTTTAAATAATATTTTAAAAATCTTCTATTTGTATAGAAAGCAGACTGTTTTTGGTGGGGTCATCTTTAAATGGATTTGGTGCCCGGAGCAGTGATGGTGATTTATGCCTAGTGGTTAAAGAAGAACCTGTAAGTAATGAAACATTTATTCTTAATGTGTTTTCATGTTACATTGGCTAAGGAATTTTATAACTAAGGCATTTAGGAAAGTTTTTATTTTAATTACTTTTTTTGTTCTTTGATATCTATCATAATTTCAGAAAAAGCAGGGGTTATATCTTTTTTTCATTTAAGACGTGCATGTTGCACATAATATAAAATTTAGCATTAATTCTAATTGTTAAAAGTGAGCTAGCTTTAATATGTGTTATTAATGTGCTCTGTCTTTATTTAGAAGTGTCATTGCTTTGGATGCATCAAGAAGAGCCTGTGTCAGTATTACCTTAATATATTACCTTAATATATTTGAATTCACAGTGATACTTTTTTATTCTTATTTTTGTGCTGGTACGGAAGCTTGAACTCAGGGCCAGAATGCTCTCTCTTAGACTTTTTGCTGAAGGTGTAGTACTCTTATCACTTGAGTCACAATTCTATTTCCATCTTTTCTGGTGATTAATTGGAGTCTCATGAATTTTCCTGCCTGGGCCGGCTTTGAATTATGATTGTCTGAGCTTGGAATTAGAGGCATGAGCCATTAGTGCTCAGCTTTTGCAAGAGTTTTTAAGTAAAACTTTCTTAGGCAATTATATTATTAGCGTGTACTCAGAAGCATAGTCCTCCAGTCTTAATCACATGTGTGAGTCGTGTTGTTATAGTTAATACCAAATGGAGGCCTCATAAATAAGAATCTATCCTCTGTCAGTGTTCAGAATTTAGAGGAGGAAATAAACATGTTAAGAAAGTTAAAACTGCTAAGTAAGTTTTGTTGGAGATATAAAAAAATTTAAGTTTTTTTTTTTTTTTTTTTTTTTTTTTCATTTTCATATATGTTTTTATTGTAAAAATACTGTACAGAGGGGTTTCAGTTACATGAGTAAGGTAATGAGTACATTTCTTTTTTTTTTTTTTTTTTTTAATTTAATTTAATTTTATCTGTGAACATACTGTACAGAGGAGTTACAGTTACATGGGCAGGATAATGTGTACATTTCTTACCAAGCATTGCAGCCTCCTCCTTTGTTTATCCTTCACATCCCTTCCCAGCCTCCCCCCTCCCCCCCTAATCCCAATCCTTCCCCTTCCTCCCTCCCCCCAGCCCCCCCCCCCACCAACATTGTAAAGTTCGTTTTGGACATGACAACTTGTACTTCTCATTGTTGCAACAGGTCCACCTGTATCCTTAAACAACTGGTTTTTCCCCATCTCCTCCACAAGTTATACTGACATCAAATATAGTGAAAGCAAGGGTTATACTGTGGGGGAGGGACATACAAAGCAACAAAGAGATAATCTTATAAATGTGTTAGAAACACATGCATGAAAGAAAAAAACATTAAAATACACATCTAAGGGTTCATTTTCCTGACATCACATTATCTGACCTTTTCCGCTTGACTCATACATATACTAGATATTACAAATAAGGGAAACCATGGGACCTACGTTTCTTTGGGCCTGGCTTACTTCACTTAATATAATTTTTTCCAAGTTTTTCCATTTCCTAACAAATGGGGCAATGTCATTCTTTCTGATGGAGGCATAGAATTCCATTGTGTATATATACCACATTTTCTTGATCCATTCATCTACTGAGGGGCATCTGGGTTGGTTCCATATCTTAGCTATGGTAAATAATGCTGCAATAAACATAGTTGTGCTGGTAGCTTTAGTGTGGTCTTGTTTGTAAACATTAGGGTAAATGCCCAAAAGTGGGATTGCTGGGTCATAGGGGAGCTCTATGTGGAGTCTTTTGAGGAACCTCCATACTGCTTTCCAAAGTGGTTGAACAAGTTTACATTCCCACCAACAATGAATTAAGGTTCCTTTCTGTCCACATCCCCTCCAGCATCTGTTGTTGTTAGAGTTCTTGATTTTTGCCGTTCTCACTGGAGTGAGGTGATATCTCAATGTTGTTTTGATTTGCATTTCTTTTATGGCTAGGGATGTTGAACATTTCTTCATGTGTCTATTGGCCATCCTTCTTTCTTCTTCAGAGAAGTTTCTCTTTAAGTCTTTCGCCCACTTATTTATTGGGCAGTTGTTTCTTTGAGGATTTGTTGTTGGGGGGTTTAATTTTTTGAGTTCCAAGTATATTTTAGATATGAGACCCTTGTCCGTTGTATGGCTAGTAAAGATCTTCTCCCAATCCGTGGGCTTTCTATTGATCTTGCTAGCTATGTCATTTGCCCTGCAGAAGCTCTGCAACTTTATGCAATCCCATTTGTCCAACCTTTCTTTGATTTGTTGTGTTTCCGTAATAGCCCCACAAAAAATAAAATACCTAGGAATTAACTTAACTAAAGAAGTGAAGGACCTCTATGATGAAAACTTTAAAATCTTGAAAAAGGAAATCAACACAGAACTTAAAAAATGGCAAAACCTCCCATGCTCCTGGATTGGAAAGATTAACATCGTGAAAATGGCAATACTTCCCAAGGCTATCTACAAATTCAACGCAATACCTATCAAAATTCCACCCTCATTCTTCAAGGAAATAGAAGAGGCAATCCAAAAATTCATATGGAACAATAAAAGACCCCGAATAGCAAAAACGCTCCTGAATGGAAAGAACACTGCTGGAGGAATATCAATACCAAACTTCAAACTCTACTATAAAGCCATAGTAATCAAAACAGCTTGGTATTGGCATAAGAACAGACCTCAGGACCAATGGAATAGAATTGAAAACCCAGAAATGAACCCACAGACCTATAGCCATCTAATCTTCGATAAGGGAGCTAAAACAATAGAATGGAAGAAAGACAACCTCTTCAGTAAATGGTGCTGGCAAAATTGGTTAACTACATGTAGAAAACTTAAGCTAGATCCTTATATATCACCCTGCACCAGAATCAACTCCAAATGGATCAAAGACCTTGAACTCAAAGCAGACACTCTGAAAACATTACAGGATGGAATAGGAGAAACCCTAGGTCTCCTTGGCTCAGGCCGAAATTTTCTGAATAGAGACCTGGAAACACAACAAATCAAAGAAAGGTTGGACAAATGGGATTGCATAAAGTTGCAGAGCTTCTGCAGGGCAAATGACATAGCTAGCAAGATCAATAGAAAGCCCACGGATTGGGAGAAGATCTTTACTAGCCATACAACGGACAAGGGTCTCATATCTAAAATATACTTGGAACTCAAAAAATTAAACCCCCCAACAACAAATCCTCAAAGAAACAACTGCCCAATAAATAAGTGGGCGAAAAAAATTTAAGTTTTTATTGTTACTATAAAGGTAATGTACAAAGGGTTACAGTTACGTAAGTCAGGCAAATAGTGCATTTCTTTTTGGACAGTTTCACCCCTTGCTTTGCTCTCTCTCAATTTTTTCCTTCCATTTCTATCCACAAGTTGTGTAGCTCATTTTCAACATAGTATCTAGTGAGTACTACTGCTGGATTTGTTTACCTTCTTTTTTTTTTTTTTTTTGGGTCAGGTCGTGGGGCATGAACTCTGGGCTTGGGCACTGTCCCTCAGCTCTTCAGCTCAAGGCTAGCACTCTACCACTTGAGCCACAGTGCCACTTCTGGCTTTTATTCTTTTTTTGCTTATGTGGTGCTGAGGAATTGAACCCAGGGCCTCATGCATGCAAAGCAAGCGCTCTACCACTGAGCCACCTTCCCAGCCCCTTGTTTACCTTCTAAGATGAATTTTTGTACATTTATTTTGAAGGTTCAGAATTTCTTTCCTTTTTTTTCCTCCCATTTTCCAGAAGTTATCTTTATAACTTATAACTTTAATGTCTGTTAAATAATAACATTTACCCACAAGATAAAACTATCAGGTTTTTTTATCCATGTAAAATGTAGAGACATTTATCAACTATAAAATTCTAAAATCAAACATCTTCATAAGGAAAAAAAGATCACCTTAATGTTTTTTAGAATTGGAGTTATGACTCAAAGAATTTGTCAGAATTCATCAGAATTTGTTTAAAAATTGTGCTATAAGTTTAAAATTAGGAATGAATTTAGAAGGGTAGATATGAAAGAGTACTACAGTTGGCTTTTTCTGTATGTATTTTGAAAAACAACTCAAGAAAAGTTTGCCTTGTATGTTTCATTTTTGATTGAGTTACATTTGGAAGATCAAACAGTTCAGCAAAAGAGATGAAATATCTTGCTAACAAAATCTATGAGATCTTGTTTTATCACTCTTTTAGCTATTCAGACACCATGTATTAGAGCTATTTATTCATGGTTTATTTTTCCCACTGATCTTATAGCTTTTTGAGAAAAAGAACCAGTTTACATATCTTTAAATCCTTTAATGCAGAAAGCAGAATATTTTGCAAGAAAAATAATGAAATGCATTATTTTTAAACTTCCCGGTGTTTTTTTTTCCAGGTAAATCAGAAGACTGAAGCACGACATATACTTACCTTAGTCCATAAGCACTTCTGTACTAGACTTTGTAAGTCAAGTTCATTTTTTATCTGATACAAGTATTTACTTAAAATGTATTTTACTTTGTTTTCTGGTAACTCTTCTTTATCTTCTGGTTGAGTTAGATAAAATGTAGACCTTTTTCTTCCAGTTAAATTCCTTTCATTTAATTAGCTAATTAATTATTTCTAAAGGGTATATGGCTATGGCACTATCTCGTACTGCCCTAGAAGTTGTTGTATATCCCGGGCTGGCCTTGAGAATCCCCTTGCCTTAGCCTCCTCAGACTCCTGGGATTACTACCATGCACTGCTGCACTTTTGTTTATTTGTTTGCTTTTGGTTCCATACTGAAGCTTGAACACAGGGTCTCAAGCTTTTGCTTACATGTTTCCTCTCAAGGCTAGCACTGTACCACTTTAGCCATACTTACTCATAACCAGCTTTTTACTGGTTAATTGAATGAGTCTTTCCATTTGTCTGCCTTAGCTGGCTGCAAGCTTCCATACCCAGATCTCAGCTTCCTGAGTAGGATTATAGATGTGAGATACTACCACCTGCTTCCTATGACTTTTGATTAAAATGTGGAAACTTTATTCAAGAAATTTTTGTTGAGTCTACTTGCAAAATATTCCACTTTATGCATTAAAGGATTTAAAGATATGGAAACATTCTGTTTCTCAAAAAGCGATATGATCAGTGGGAAAATTAAAGCATGAATAAATAGCTCTAATACATGATGTCTGAATAGCTGAGTGATAAAGCAAGATCTTGTAGATTTTCTTGTCAGCAAGAGATTTCATCTCTTTTGCAGTAGCATCCATCTTTACTGATTTAAAAAGTTATGAATACAAAGCCTGAAGATAGTACTCCAATAGAGAGTAAACTTGGATCACTTAATTGTAATACAAAATCATTAAAAAATTTTATTTAGGTCTTTGATGGTATTAAGATTTGACCTAGGACTTTGTATTTACTAGGCATGCACTCTACCACTTGATCCAGGTCCCCCAACCCTTTTTGTTTTTAGTAATGTTTTTGGATAGGATCTCTTTCCACAGTCCTCTTACCTATACCTCTCGTGTAGCTGGCATGACAGGCACATACTGCCATACCCAGTTTATTATTTGAATTGGGATCTTGGTAACTTTTTGCCCAGGATGGCCTTGAACTTAGATCTCCCCCCTTCCTATCTTGACCTTTTGAGTAGCTGGGATTAAAGAATACACAACCTCTCTTATCTGTATATATTATCTCATCATCATTTTAAGCTTCCACAAAATGTTTTATGGAAAAAATATGTACATATATTTTCTCTCTCTTAGAGATCATGCTTAATTGAATATGTTGTTACCTTAACATACTGCAAGCATTTCCACATTTAAAATTTTTTGTAACTGTCATTTGTTATGGCTATAATTTGTTAATGTTTACTATACTTGAATTTATCTTGTGCTGTTAGCTGTTTTTCACTCTTGTAGTATCCTAATAAACTTCTTTATAGGTACTATTTGATATTAGCCCATATTGCTGAAAATAACCTTCGTATAAAGCTTTCTAAGTGACTTAGTTTTCACTCTTAAACAGATTTGATAAAGTCTTTATTTCTTTACTGTCTTTCTCATAGACAACATTGATATTTTTTGCTTTGTAAAATAATAATTTGAAATGTTGATTAGAACATTGTGAATTTGAGGAACTTTGGTAGATGTTCACAGTATCTTTTTTTATCATTCAGGTGGCTATATTGAGAGACCTCAACTAATAAGAGCAAAAGTGCCAATTGTGAAGTTCAGGGATAAAGTCAGGTAAATAATACTTTTTTTTTTCAATTACTTTAGATCATTTTTAGTTATTCATCTAATATGGGTGAGAAATGTGTATAGTACCACAAAAACTTATCTTTGTCAGGCTTTAGAAAGGAATTGAAGTACCTTTTTTTTTTGGTACTGGTCTTGGGGCTTGAATCAGGGCCTGAGTGCTGTCCTTGAGCTTTTTTGCTCAAAGCTAGCATTCTATCACTTGAGCCACAGCTCTACTTCTGACTTTTTTTGGTGGCTAATAATTGACTTTCATGGCGGGAGAGAAGATCCTCAGATTTCAGTCTGCTGACTAGCTTGGATTACAAGTGTGAGCCACCAGTTCCCTGACTAATTGTTTCTGAGACAGGGTGTTGCTTTGTATGTAGTAGCCCATGCTGTTCTTCAGTTTACAATCCTCCTGCTTTAAATTCCAAGTGCTAACATTACAGGTGCTTACCACCACATGTAACCTGGAATTTTGTTTTTATTTTAGGCAGTCTTTTCATGGAAAAGACTAATTCTGGAGAAAGTTGATCTTATAATATTGGGTATGAATGGAACTGACTTACAAAGTAATCTTTCTTTGTAGATTCCATCATTATTACCCTGTTTAATAACTTGTGAGTTGCCTGCTATCTGTTTTTAAAGATGTTTTACCTTTGGTTGTGTGTTTGAGTTAGAACTCTTCCTAGATATCAGTAGCAACTTGTGACATTTATCAGCTTTTTTTTTTTTTTTTGTCATGGGGCTTGAACTCTGGGCCTGAGTGCTGTCCCTCAGCTCAAGGCTAGTGCTCTACCATTTGAGCCACAATGCCTCTTCCCATTTTCTGGTTGTTTATTGGAGATAAGAGTTTCATGACTTTCCTGCCCAGCTTTTCCTGCCCCGGCTGGCTTTGGTCTGGCTTTGGGCTGGCTTTGAGCTGGCTTTGAACCGGCTTTGAACCGTGATCCTCAGATCTCAGCCTTCTGAATAGCTAGGATTACAGGCTGAGCCATCAGCTCCAGGCTTTATCAGCTTCTTTATTTACAAATACAGTGTGCAGAGCCTTCATTCCTTTATTTTTTTCACTACATTTTATGTGGATTTATATTCTTATTTTAGAAATATTAATTATAAGCTAGGCTCCAGAGGCTCAAGCCTGTAATACTGGCTACTCAGGAGGAGTAGATTATGGCTCTCTTAATAATAATCCTAGTTTGCATTTTTAATACACATTAAATCACATTAAATATCATACTGATATAATTTGCATCTGATAAAGATTTGTATCTTTAGGCCACATGCTGTTTTACACCATTGATTGAATTGACTTCAGTTTATTTACTGAATGGGGAAGATTATTTGGGCTAAATACAAACTAAAGTTTGTATTTTTTGTTTTTTATAGTTGTATGGAATTTGACTTGAATGTAAACAACATTGTTGGAATAAGAAACACATTCCTTCTCCGGGCTTATGCATACCGTAAGTTTATGGCTCATTTCTAAATAACCAGCAGCTTCCGTTTTTTTCTTCTTTTAAAAAAGAAATTTTTTTATTGTTATTGTAAAAGTGATATACAAAGAAGTTATAGTTACATAGTCAGGATAAAGAGTACGGTTTATGCTTCCCCCTCATCACAGGATTTGATAGCTGAACTGTAGCTTGCTTTTAAAATGTTTAAGGGCTAGGAATGTTGTTCCATGATAAAGTACTTGCCTAAGGCCTTGTGTTGGATTGATAGAATTATATAATAAGGAAAACATCTCTTTATAGTAAATAGCAATGCCTCCTTAGTTGAGTTGATGTATATTTTTTGTAAAACACGTTGTTGCAATAAAATTGAGTACTTTCAGAGTTAAACATAAATCAGATGCTATTTTTTGTATCTGTATGTGTCAGCATTTGGGCTTGAACTCTTAGCCTGGGTGTTATTTCTTACCTTTAAGTAAGGCTGGGGCTACTACCTGAATTCAGCTTCATTTTGGGTTTTTTAGTGGTTAGTTGGAGAAGGGAGTCTCACAGGCTTTCCTGTCTGGGATGGCTTTGAACTGCAATTTTCAGATCTCAGCCTTATGAGTAGCAAAGATTATGAATTACCCATGAACCATCCATACCTGGCAATCAATACAGTTGAATAATTGGTATTTTTAAAAGGTAACTAAGGCAGACTAGAGGTAAACCACATTTAGAAGTTTATTGATGGTGAATACTATGTTACTACAAATATTACTTTTAGGATATTAGGAAATTATGTGAATTTTCAAAGAAAACTCTATATGTCTACTGACTTTTTAATTTTACTTGTAGTTGAAAATCGAGTTCGTCCGTTAGTGCTGGTAATTAAGAAATGGGCAAGTCACCATGATATTAATGATGCCAGTCGTGGTACTTTAAACAGCTATAGTCTCGTGTTGATGGTTTTACATTATTTACAAAGTAAGTATTATTTTAGTTTTCCTAGTTTTTAAAACTCAAATTCAGCTAAACTTCATTATAGTGTCTTTCCTTCTTATTTAAAGTCCTTTTTAAGGTCTTAAAAATTATGTTTCCCAGGGCTGGGACGGTGGCTCAGTGGTAGAGTGCTTGCCTCGCTCGCATGCATGAGGCCCTGGGTTTGATTCCTCAGCACCACATAAGCAGAAAAATCCCATAAGCGCTGTAGCTCAAGTGGTGTAGAGCACTAGCCTTGAGTTGAAAAGCTGAGGGACAGTGCCCAGGCCCAGAGTTCAGGCCCCATGACCGAAAAAAAAAATAATTATGTTTCCCATTTTATTGTCTTGAACTAATATTTAAGAAATGTTATTGCCTGGAAAGCATTATAAGGAAGTTTCAGTATGTATTTATTTTTCAAAGTTGTTCTGTATTTGTATTCAAAGAGCTTTCAGCATCATGCGTGTATCAATTACTTTGAAACATGCATCTTTTGAAGAACTATAAAAATAACTTCAAGCACCATTCATTCTTTTTATTTGGGGCCGAAATTAAATGATTTTGTTGGCTGAGGAAGTTTATAATCCCCATTAGCCACACTTCCCAACTAGATGTTATCTTTATAGAACTGTTTTTGTCAAATTGGCCTCCAGGGTGCGGGGCAAACTGGTTGAAATATCTTTCATACCCACTGACTCCCTGGGCCAACTGATCTTGCTGGGTAGGTAAGGATTCCCTTCCTCTAGTATTGTTTCATGTGTATCCCTCCTAAAGCTGCCTACTTGGTCAGAGTAGATATTCCTTCCCCAATAGAGAACTACTCTTTTTTTTTTTTGTCAGTCATGGGGCTTGAACTCTGGGCTTGGGCTATGTCCCTCAGCTCTCAGCTCAAGGCTAGTGCTCTACCACTTGAGCCACAGTGCCACTTCCGTTTTTTTTTTTTTTGGTGGTTTATTGGAGATAAAGAGTCTCATGGTCTTTTCACCCGGACTGGCTTTGAATGACGATTCGCAGATCTCAGCCTCCTGAGTAGCTAGGATTACAGGCGTGAGCCACCGGCGCCTGTCTGAGAACTATTCTTTACTCAGGGGTATTCAAGTAACTGTGCTCCCCTGATAGAACATTGAAACTTTCAAAGTCTGGATTGGCCTCCAGAGTTTAGTTCAATCTAGTTAGCCATCTGGTGAAAGCCATATTTTTGTTCTATGTATATGCAAACAGCAGTAAATAAACACTTAGTATTTGTGTCATTTCGTAAGATATAATATGTGAGGTTTTTTTTTCTTCTTTCTTTCTTTTTTTTTAGCAGCATTGATGTTTGAACTGTGAGGCCAGTAATCTTTACTTGGGCCACACCTCCAGTCCTCCTTTCTGCTGGTGATTTTGGAGATGAAATCTAGTGAACCTTTGTTCCAGGCTGGCCTTAAACTTTTATCCTCCAGATGTCAGCTTCCTAAGTAGCTAGGGTTACAAATATGAATTTTTATAGTTTTAAAAAATTCCTACAAATACAGAAGACAGATCTCATTGGAACCTTTACTTTCATAAATAGTAATATTTTATGTATGTAATACAAGAAGTAAGATATCATACATATTCTACTCAGCAGGGTGCTGAGAGATGGTAAAGAGAAAACTGAGGGTTTATAGTAATTAAACCAGGGCTCTGAGATATTTGATGACTAACATTTTGAATGTTTGAAGGTTTAGTTTAGAATCTTAGTTTTTGAAGGTTATTATGCAAATGGGGAGTATGCGTAATACTCATAGGTTCCTTCTAAGAATATTTACCACTAAATAAATACCTGGTATTACTCCATGACCTGGAAGTTCAGCAGTGAACAAAATCGAAAGCTTATATACTTTATGTGTAAAAATGAACATTTTAATAACCATTGCTAAAACATAAGAATCCTTAGGTGTGACAGCACTATTCCACACTTTTTCCAGCACTATTTACACTATTTTGTGGCCACACAAGGCCTACATACTGAGATCCTGTCTCAAAACAAAAGAAAACGAAATTCCAGCTACTTGGGAATCAGTGACAGGAGGATCATAATTTGAGGTTAACTGAAAAGTTAGTAAGACCCTATTTTTAAAGCAAATTGGGAATGGTGGTGAATACATACAAACCCATCTATTGGGGAGTTCAGGTAAGAGGATTGCGATCTGAGTCTAGGCAGAAAGGAGGACACCTTGTCTGAAAAATAAACTAAAATAATCAAAATGATTAGAGTATACTTCAAATAGTAGAAGAGCTTACTTAGCCAGCACATAGTCCTGAGTTGGGTTCATCTCAAAACAAACTAAACTGTTAAAACAGAATTGTTAAGAACTGTTAGAACTGATTACCAGTAAGCATGTATTCTTTCTTTATTTTTTTGGTTGGTTGTGGGGCTTGAACTCTGGGCCTGTGTACCATCCCTGAGCTCTTCAGCTAAAGTAGAGCACTCTACCACTTGAGCCACAGCACCACTTCTAGTTTTCTTGTGGTTTATTGGAGATAAGAGTCTCATGGACTTTTCTACCTGGCAGCCCATACCTGGCTTTGAACCATCCTCAGATCTCAGCCTTCTGAGTAGCTAAGATTACATCATGAGCCACCTGCGTCCAGCCAACATGTGTTCTTTAGACACTTGTATGAATTGAGTCTGCCTACTAAATATCCCTACCAGTTTATCATCTAACTCTGACAAAATAATTATTATGGTGCAGTAATTTTTTTTAAAAAGCTTCCTTTTATTACACTTGGTGCTTTTTAACGTTAATATACTGAAAGATAACAGCTTGAGCAATTTTTTTAAAGACAGTAGGAAAGTAAGGGTTTGTATATTGAAAGGATTTGGTGCCTTTACAGTAGTGTTTCTGTGCTGTTACTGGAAAAAAGAAAAGGCACATTTTTCTTGGTATGTGGCTAAGAATCGGTTGGAAGCTGCGGGAAACTATAGTTCTTTGGATAGTGAATGGGAGGATGATGCCATTTTGGGATTCCTTTGGTGAGTCACTTTTTTGAATAGTAGGATAGAATAGTTGAGAACAGAAGAAAAGCTTCCCAAAGGGTAAAGATGATTGTCACAGATTTTCTGTTTTCAAAGCCCTTGCCTAGCATAAGCAATTAAATATTTAAACAATTATTTCTCAGTTACTCAATCTCAGCGTTTTTAAAAAGTAGAAACATTAGTAAGGGTTCTTATGTGTTTAGTTTTGTATTTTTGAACAAATACGTTTGAACTTAATTTGGTGATATTTATTTAAAATTAATAAAGTTAATAATTTAGAAATATTTTTATTCACATTTTATGTTATTTGTACACATCATAGAAATTTTTGAAAATACTCAAGTATAAAGAAAAAAATGATAATCACCCATATTTTCACAACATTGTTGGTATGAATTTTGTTTTCTTTGCAAGGGTTTCAAAATGTATCTTCTAGCCAAACATTTAAGTGGCAAGTTCAGTTTTTTCACATGTTTGGACAGTGGGTACTATAATTATTTTTCGGGTGTGCATGTACAGTGAGTACTGTAATTATTGTGTGTGCATGTACGCATGTGTGTGCATGCCTGTGTGTGCCTGTTCTGGCGCTTGAACTCTGGGCTTGGATGCCATCTCTGAGCTTTTTTGCTCAAGGCTAGCACTCTTCTATTTGAACCACAGCTTCACTTTTAGCTTTTTGGAAGTTAATGAGAAATGAGAGTCTCATTGACCTTCCTACCCTCAGATCTTAACCTTCTGAGTAGCTAGGATTATAGGTTTGAGCCACCAGGTTTATTTTTAATATATTAGCAAAACTTAATGGAAAAACTTTGAAGATAGACTTATGAATGTACTAAGATAAATCTTGCTTTTCTTTGGCTTTTTTGTTCAGAGGAACTTGAGCCATAACTTCAGTGCAGCTCTTTTATAAGTTTTGTGGATTTTTCTACTCACACTTTCCTTGTTTCACACTGATCCTCAGATCTGAGTCTCCTTGATTAGCTAGGATTGCAGACATGAGTCAATGTCGCCTGGCTAGTTTTGATTTTTTTTCTAGTTTTGATTTTTTTTTTTTACAGTGACTTCTTGTATATTGCAGTTTACTTTCATTAAAAATTGAATTTTTTTTCTTTTTCTTTCTTTCTTTCTTTTTTTTTTTTTGGGTCCGGTTGTGGGGCCTGAACTCTGGGCCTGGGAACTGTCCCTCAACTCTTCAGCTCAAAGCTAGTGCTCTACCACCTGAGCCACAGCGCCACTTCCGGCTTTTTTTCTTTTTGCTTATATGGTGCTGAGGAATTGAATCCAGGGCCTCACGCATGCAAGGCAAGCACTCTACCACTGAGCCACCTTCCCAGCCCAAAAATTGAATTTCTTATATGTATAAACTAAATAATAGCATATAATAATAGCAATATCATCACTGGCCACTGTCTATTAATTTTAGTAATGATGTCAAAATTAGATTTACTAAATTTGGTTTGATTAAAGCATTTAACATGAACATCTATATACATGTCTTTGCTGGTTACATTAAAACTTTTGATTGACAACTGTAAAATGTATTTTAATCATAGTTACTTAAGGTGATTTAAAGAAGAATGAACTGTTTTGCCAGTGTAATAAGATATTTTAAAATTTGGTTTTGATTTTGTTAAACATTTTATTTGCTGAAGTGGTTGAGATTAATGATATTATCAACCATTTCTATCCACTCTAAAGAGTACCAGCTATCAGCCAGGAGTGGCTCACACTTGTAAACAAATTTAGCTCTCGGGAGGCTGAGATCTTAGGATCATGATTTGAAATCAACTCAGGCAGGAAAGTCAATGAGACTCTTAGCTTTAATTAACTACCAAAAAAACAGAAGTTGAGCTGTAGCTCAAGTGGTAGTGTACTAGCTTTTAGCAAAAAGCCTGAGCATCCATGTCTTGAGTTTTGGCCCTATTACTGACTCCCCCAAAAGTCTGTAAGTGGGGTTGGGTCCAGGCTGTCTCTGGCAGCCATTTAAGGAACTTTGGAACTAGACCCTGTAAATGGTAGAAATGTATACTTTTAGAATTGTAATTCTTATGAGCTGGTCATAATGGTTGATTATATATAAACAAGTGTATTCCAGAGGTTGTTTTTTTAGACGTTTTTGCTAAGTAAAAACTTATTACTAAGTTTTGTTGCTTGTAGTATATTCTTAATTCTTAAATACCAAGCTTATTTTTGATAGTGTATTTGATTTCTAGTATTTAAGATACTTTGAAAGTATATTACTTAAATTTTACCATACTCCTGACATTGCATTTTATAGTTATTTCTTATGTTATAAATATCAGATACTACCTTTTGTATTACGTTATAATGATGCAAAATTACTGTTAGTGAATTTAGTGAGATTGGATTTGTTTAAACTACTGGATGGTGAAGAATGACAAAAAAGAAATACAGCACTGAGAGGAAGATAATGATTCCTTTGTATGTGATTTCACTTACATTCTAGTAGAGCTGTACAAATTTCCTGTTTGAAATTTCTAATTTCTGCTGAGACGTTAGAAACATAGTGTATAAAGGAGAATAATGGAGATACATTTATGTATGTGACAATAAAATTTCCTTTATACAACTGATGAATGCTGGTGGTTGAAGATTTTTTTATTTTAGTTTTTTATTTTTTCAGTAAGTCAGATTTTTGGACTTATCAATTTTAGTATTGTTAGTACAAATTAAAAAATGAAAGGACAGTTATGATAGATATTCTTACATGATGTATCATTGAACTCTTAAAGTTACATTTTTGGTAACTACAGTCATCTTAGTAAGGGCCTTCTAATATCTGTAGAGCAGTCCTTTCTTATTTTGTGTGTATGTCTAATTTGGGCCAGTATTTTAATTTAAAATTTTAGGGGTCATATTATATGGCAACTCTTGAATTGTAGCATAAACCCAGTATTCTCATTCCTAGGATATAGGTGACAAATTATTGCATTATTAATTGAATCATGTGAATCACAGAAGCTTTAAACTTTTTCTTTTTATAGCCCTACCTGAACCCATCCTTCCATCCCTACAAAAAATTTACCCAGTAAGTGTTTCTTATAAATTATAATACATATTATGTCAAGTGTATATAGAATTATTATATGTTGTATAAATGTATGTAAGGCTAGTACATGATAACCTTTTCTGTATAGACAGGCATTTGCCACCAGAACATTTGAATGTTTTATGCAATTTTTTTTAAAAAAAAACGGGTACTTTAGTTAATGGCAGAGAAGCTAGTCATTTTATGTTAATGTGGAATTTTTTTTTGCATGACATGCATGACCATTACTAATAGGGATTAAATATACTTATGAGGGCAAGACCTATTTATTCTAGCCTTTTCATACTATTTTAAAATAAGCAATTGTTTAGTAACTCTGATTTTTTTGGTCCAGTTTATCCTTTGAAAAATAGGGAATGAAACTAAAAATTTGAATAATTGGATAACCTGTCTTCTTATCTTGCTAAATAATACACTAAAGAGATAATATTAGTATGTTATTCTTATCTGCATAATATTATTCCTGCTGAAACTGGAAATACTAAAAACTGAAGTATGGCTACTGGGAAAATTTAGTATATAACTCAAAATTTGAATTTACAGAAACATGTAATGTACTTATTCATAATGTATTCTTTTATTTCTTCCTTAGTTTTCTTGCATACTTTCTTCAGAATTCTGTTTCTTTGTTTTATATTGCTGGTATTTCGGTTTTCCTCTTTGTTCTTGATTTTCTTTGAAAATAATATTTAAGCTGCTTGTTTGGAATGACTGAAATCATGTACATTTTAGTTTTATACATACATATGTGTCTATGCATTTTATCTATATAAGAGGAGCTGTTTTGTAAGCACAGCAAATGGCACAAAGGAGAATGTGCTTTATAGCATGTATGATCAGTTTTCAGAGAGCTTACTATGTCACACAAAATATACTTGATTGGTAACATGAATTAGATAGGGTAGGGTTTAGTCACTGATATTTGAGAAGAGCTGTTCTTTATTTTTGAACATTAGTTATAATGCACACATGGAACATATTACGTAATAAAGGTTCATTTGTAATAGAGGCAGTAGTTTTATAATAGTATTGGAGGTTCCTCAGTTTTTGGTGGATTATCAGCTGGGATAAACTATGACAAGAACTTTTTAAAATCCAGTCCTCTTTTTAGAATTAAACTATTAAAACAAGTTTATAATATAGCTAGCGACCAGATTTCATGCTTTTATACATTGTGAAAAATGAAAATATTAGCAACTATAGAAATAAAAACTTAATTTTTTGGCTTTATTCTTAAATAATTTCTGCTTTCTATATTCTTTAGCTCATACTGATCTAAGATAATGATTGTTTATACTATTTCATTTCAACTTTATAATATCCAGATTTTAATGTAAAAAGAACAACAATATGTGGTTCAGATTACAAAGGCCCTAATAGTGAAAAGACACTTTTATCTGGGTGCCAGTGGCTCTTGCCTGTAATTCTAAATTCTCAGAAGGCTGAGATATGAGGATTGTGCTTCAGAGTCAGCCTAAGCAGAAAAGTCTTTGAGTTAAGACACTCTTAGATAAATGTTGATCCCAGCAGTTGGGAGACTGGAGAGAGAAGTGTTGGGAGTTTGAGGGCAGAATGCTTCTGTTGAAATCTTACTTGAAACCCTGTGCTGTGAGGAATTAATGCAAGACAGAAGGGAAATACAAGTTCAGTACTGTGCTTGGGAAGAGAGGTATGATTTTGATGAGAAACTCACCATTAGGTTTTTTTTTTTTGTTGGTTGTGGGGCTTGAACTCTGGGCCCGGGTGCTATCCCTCAGCTCTTCAGCTCAAGGCGAGCGCTCTACCACTTGAGCTACAGCACCACTTCCGGGTTTCTGGTGGTTTATTGGAGATAGGAGTCTCACAGTCTTTCCTGCCCGGGCTGGCTTTGAACCTCGATCCTCAGATCTCAGCCTCCTGAGTAGCTAGGATTACAGGTGTGAGCCACCAGTGCCCAGCTACCATTAGTTCTTACTAATACCTGTAGTAAAGAATAGCCCTACTTTTGCTTGAAAAAAATCAAGCCAGGTATGATGAGAGATACCTTTAATCCCAGTACTTGGGAAGGTAATGGCAGGAAAATACTGAGTTTGAGGCTAACCTGGGCTTTATAATGGAAAATCTAACTAAAAAAATTACAAAGACAACAGTTACAAACATCAGTACATATTGTTAGTGCAAAAAGTGAAATGTATTTTCAAGGAAAAGATGTTATCATTTGAATTGGTTTTTCATTGACTTAGTTTGTAGTTTTAAGGCTGTTGGTTTTTGTTTTTGTATTGCTCTTTAATGTGCCTTTGAATGTATTAGCTTAAGTTGTATTTGCTTATTTTATTTATAGTAGCATATATTTTAAACATAGTTGCCATAGTTGAGAAGCTTGTATTTTGTGTTTGTTTTTTTATATGCTGGTCCTGGACCATGAACCTCATGATCTAGGTGCTATCCCTGAGCGTGCACGCTCGCGCGCGCTCTCTTTCTCTCACTCTCTCTCTCTCTCTGTTTTTTTTTTTTTCCTTTTTGCTCAAAGTTAGGCTCTTCCACTTGGGTCACAACTCTCCTGCTTTTTTGGTGGTTGATGAGAGTCATGGACTTCCTTGCTTTGAACTGCAGTCTTCAGATCTGAGCCTCTTGAATAGCTAAGATTACAGACCTGAGCAAGTTGTTTTGTTTCGTTTATTTTGGTTGGTCATAGGGCTTGAACTCTGAGCCTAGGTGTTGTCCTTGAGCTCTTTTGCTCAAAGCTAGTGCTCTACCACTTTGAGCTGCAGTGCCACTTTTGGTTTTCTGGTGGTTAATTGGAAGTAAGTCTCACAGACTTTCCTGCCCTGGGTGGCTTTGAACCTTGATTCTCAGATGTCAGCCTCCTGAATAGCTAGGATTACAGGTGTGAGCCACCAGTGCTTGGCAAAATTGTTTCCTTTTTAAGTGTGGATATTTCCTTCACTTTCCATTAGTATGTGACAGTATAAAATCATGAAAAATGAGCAGTAGAGCTAAAGGAACACTGGCATTGTTGGCTCAAAGTCACCAATTTAATAGAGTAGATTCAAACTGGATGTTTTTTGATCCTTTAAGTTATTAAAATAATTTTAGAATTCAAACAATTTTAGGTTTCATGTAAGAACATCAGTTTTTAAGTTGAATGTTTAGTTTTCTGTTGTTAGAAATCAAAATAATAAAAAGCAAGATCATTAAACGGGAACCTACTTTAAAAGTTTTTAATTGACCCATATTACTTGTGTATACTGCTTTTCTTCTTGTTTGACCTGCATGCTTATTTTCTTTGCAAGAAAATAGTATTCTAGTTTGACTCTGTGTGTGTGTGTGTGTGTGTGTGTGCGCGCGCGCGTTCGAGCGTGTGTGTGGTGTGTGCATGTGCGTGCACGCGTGCTTGCCTATATTGGGGCTTAAATTCAGGGCCTTGAACTCATTTGACTTTATGCTCACAGCTGGCACTATAATATACCTGCAAGTCATGCCTTCAGACCTACTTTTTGTTGGTTAATTGGAGATAGAGCTTCCAGTTTTCTGCTTGGGTTAGCTTTGAACTGCAATACAGGCATGAGTCACTAATGCCTAGCTGGTTTAGCAAATTTAAGTAGTAGTGTCAGAAGTACAATTTAATACCTAGGGATAATCTGGCCATCCTTTTGCCTTTATTGTTTTTGTTGTTGTTGTTGCTGCTGCTGTTATTGTCCTGGTATTGGGAACTCCGCCTAGCCACTGTTTCTAAAGCTAGCATTAAAGCTAGCACTTTACTATGTTAGCCACAGCTCCATTTTCAGTTCTTCAGAGGTTAATTGGAAGTAAGAGTCTTACTGCCCAGGTACGGACTGGCTTGGAACCACAGTCCTTACATTTCAGGCTCCCAAGTAGGTAGGATTACAGTGCATGATCCTCTTGGGCCTGGCTCTTGCCTTATTCTTACTGGTAGATTGATGCTCCTTCCTCAAGCTAATTAAAATTTCAGTTTGAGTCTGATGTAATAACTACAGATAGTAGAAGTGTAAAACAAAGTCCTAAGCTGAAGATTGCTAGCTTTCTCAGTTATAATTGGAATATAATTCTTTTTCTAAGAGAAAGGTAATCATGTTTCTTGATAAACATTGATTAATTACTGGTGAGAATACAAGGGATGTTTTATTTGCTCCTTTGTTTTGACTAGCATTTAGTGCTATATTACACTATTTCTATGTGTTACCACTTAGTTGTTTAGGTAATATATTAATGAATTGTATTATCAGTTATAATTTTTTCTTCTGAAGTTATTTATAATGAAGAACTATGAACTCCAGGTTAAATTTTTGTTGTTGTTGTTATTGGTCGTGGATATTGAACTCTGGGCCTGGGTTCTGTCTTTGAGTTCTTCAGCTTAAGGCTAGTGCTCCACCACTTGAGCCACAGCGCCACTTCCAGTTTTCTGGTGGTTTATTGGAAATAAGATTTTCCTGCCTGGGCTAGCTTTGAACCATGATCCTCAGATCTCAGCCTCCTGAGTAGTTAGGATTACAGGCATGAGCCACCCGCACTTGGCTTCCAGGTTAATTTTTTTAAGAATAGAATTAGGAAACTTAGCTATAGTTCACATTTCTGCTGCTTTAACTAGTTTTTAAAAATCTATTTCTACTTGGATGGCAGTGGGTTAACATAGTTATTTTTTATTGTACTGTGGAAATTGCATTTAGACTATGTTCCAGTTTTGGACATTTATTACTTGAAGGTATTTATATTCATTTAGGTTCTTTTTTTTATTTAGTGTGTTTTTCATCTAGAACTTAATGCTAAGGAAAAAGGTCAGCTATGAAAACAAATGGCATAACAGACGAAACAGCTCCCTCCCCGGACCTCCACCAAAAAAATAAATAAAAAAAAAAAAAAGAGAAAAAAAACCCACTCATTTTCCTAACAAATAATATGGTAAAAATTTCCTGGATGTTGCTTGTTAGTATGTGTACTATCTATTTTTTTCTCCCTGCCTTTTTCTTTTCAAGTTCAATTCATGTTGATTATCTGTTTTCATTAAAATACAAAGTACAAAGGCAGAATAAAGCAAACATTTAAAAATGAATACTATTCATGTGCTGCAGCTACTCTGGCCTTTGAGGAGTGCTAAGTAGCAGTTAGAAAAAGCTGTTTATTGCTTTATGCCTTTCTTTTTTGTTTTTTGGTCGGTCGTGGGGCTTGAACTCTGGGCTTGAGCGCTGTCCCTGAGCTCTTCAGCTCAAGGTGAGTGCTCTACCGCTTGAGCCACAGTGCCACTTCCTTTCTGTCTTTTTCTTTTCTACATCTGGTCCTTGTGGAAATAATGAAGATAATATATTTACGAGTGTGTGTGTTTTGCTAGGTTGAATTATGATATGTGTACTGTTATTGTATGAGTTAGAAATCTTTAGTTATCATAAAGATAACTAAATGATATTCCCAAGCGAAGGATTAAAATATCTTAGTTTTCCAGGTACCTTCTGGCTTATTTTAAATATTGGTGCAATTTCTAGTGGAAGACAATCAAATTTGTAAATTTCCAACACAAGAGAGTTAAATTTCTTCTTAAATTTTTTTTTAGTTTTTAGTATGTGCTTTAAATGGCTTAGCTTGTTTCTCTTTTTAACAGGAATCTTTTAGTCCTGCTATTCAGCTGCACCTTGTACATCAAGCTCCATGTAATGTTCCTCCTTACCTCTCAAAGAATGAATCAAGTCTTGGGGACCTCTTACTGGGCTTTCTTAAATATTATGCTATAGAGTTTGAGTAAGTAAAGCTTTAAATTATGCTTATTTGTTTATATATGTTAATTTGATAAATTTTGTCAAAGGCTGTATTTGTTAATTGTTGTGCTATAAACATGTCCAGATTGTCTAGTTTATAAGATAATAAACTAACAGTTACTAGATTTTATAGTCCCAGCAAATAAAAAAGACTGTAGTATACCAGGCCAGGTTTTGTTGATTGATTGCATTTGTTTTCCCATTTTATGTCATGCCTCATTTTCCAGAAGGGCCTTTCTGAACCCTATATTTAGTTCCATAAGGATGTTTCATAGTTTGGAACATCTGTTTTTTAGAAACTTAAAATGTATAGAAACTAGTACAGAGCAATTGGGCTAGAGGTGTTCAAGCAGTGTTGTGCCTGCCTATTCAGTATCACACAAATTCTCACAGTTACTGCATTCCAAAATCACACAGGAAAATATTTGTCCTTGTGAATTAGATCATAGAAAGGCATCTTAAATGCATGGTTTTCTACTTTTTTTTTTTTTTGATCAAGAGCAGTGTGGAGTCAGGCACATAACCTGTCACCTAGAATGAATAAATTCCCACTCCTATATATAGTTCTTGAAGCCTGGCTTTTAAGATTTTAGCAGTGACATGTCAATGAAGTTACTTAATATTTAGTTTAAGAGATGAGATTTGGGCTGTATTGCACAGGCTAGTCCTGAATTCTTAGCCTCAGTCGGTCCTTCCTCAGTCTCTACTGTAGATGCAATTACAGGTATACACCACTACACCTGGCTAAAAATCAATAAATTTTAAGTGATCATATAAAAATTCTGAGACATTTATGCCATATACTCAAGTATCTTTTTTTTTTTTTTAATTTTGGTCGGTCGTGGGGCTTGAACTCTGGGCTTGGGCACTGTCTCTGCACTCTTCAGCTCAAGGCGAGTGCTCTAGCACTTGAGCCACAGCACCACTTCCGGTTTTCTAGTGGTTTATTGGAGATAAGAGTCCCATGGACTTTCCTGCCCAGGCTGACTTTGAACCGCGATCCTCAGTTCTCAGCCTCCTGAGTAGCTAGGATTACAGGTGTGAGCCACCGGAGCCGGGCCTCAAGTATCTTTTATCATCCATTTAATTCTTTGTCTTTCAAGTAAAGAAAAAAGTTATTGAGTCCTTTAAGTTCATTAGAAATCTTTACAAACCTTTTTTCCCCTCAGTACAGAGAACTAAACCCAGGGCTTACTCTGCTAGACAACACTCTACTACTTGAGCTATGTTTTTGGCCCTCTACATTTTTAACAGCTATCAAAATTCTTTTGCTGCCATTTTTTTAAAAATGCCCTATTTTTATGTTTTTACTTGCATTAAATTTTTTTTTTGTACTACAGTTTTTCAGGAAACCTTGAATACCTGATATGTACTAAGTAACTAGTTGAATAGTGAAAGAAATAGAAAAATATCTTAACGTCTTGGAGCTTTTATTCTACTTTGGGAGGTACACAATAAATAATAAATAATAAGCGTAAATAAGTAAGCAGTTGTTAGAAGCTGTAGAGAAAAAAAAAGGGTGCTGAGGGTTGAGGCAAATGTCAATATTGTGTAAGAAAATCAGGATAGGTTATTCTACTGGCTGATAAAAGGAAATAATGAAATTGTTGAGACAATTTAATCTCCTTTATTATAGTTGGAATACTCAAATGATTTCAGTTCGTGAAGCCAAAGCCATTCCAAGGCCTGATGGTATTGAATGGAGAAATAAATACATCTGTGTGGAAGGTAGTTTGTCATGCTTACTCGGTTTACCACTTGTTAGCATTAGTACTGAGAGTATTATTTAATTTCAGTTTATAGCATTAGTACTGAGAGAATTATTTAATTTCAATTTGAGTTTGAGTTAAAAGTAATACATGTATGTTCTGAAGTGATGACAATGTTAAATCTTTAACATTTGAAATTTAGTTGTGAGAAATACTATACTTGAATTTGAACATTAAATCTCTCCTGTCTCCTTCCTTTCTACTCTCCTTCCCTCCCTTTTCCTCTTCTTTCCCTTTTGTTTTTCTTCTTTTCTTCTGTTTGTAGACTAGGATTTATTGAATGGGAATTGAGGATACTGCTATGGAGGATAGCTTTGGAAACATACATACATAAAGATTTCCTTTGTTTTCCATCAGTCTTCTCTGTTTACTATTTTGTTTTTCTCTGTTACCAGATTTCTTACCAAATTTATCGTTTCAGTGTCTTTCTTTCTAAAACACCTACTCAAACCTTAACTCGAAACTGGCTTCCATTTTCTTCTATATTAACCCTCTACTTCCAAAGGGTATAGATCCTTTTTGCAGATGCACAAAATTAGCTTTTAAGTAAAAATGAAGTTTTAAATTATCCTACTGTACCATCTGAAAGCACCTCTCGTTGTTTCTGATAACTTTTTATTTAATTTATTTTTATTCATTTAGACCTACTATAAGTCTTCGGAAACCTTACCTACTTCCATGATTTAAACTAAAATACCTGTAGCTGATGACTCTGATTTTTAGTCATCCCTCTCACTTGAGTTCTAACTAACTTATTAGGCACCTCATAGTTATGAGTTATGGACATGTCTAGAAATGATGTTAGGCTAATCAATACCAAGTTCTGTATTTATAGTTCAAAATGGTTACATGTTGGCAGTTTTATATAATTGAATCTAATCTACAAATATTTGGTGGCTGGGGATGTAGCTCAGTAGTTCTGTGTTTGCCCCACATATACAAGATCTTAGGTTTGACTCACTGCAAAAAAGATAGAAAGGTGTCTTTTTAATGATTTGTTTGTCTAACATTGCAGAACCTTTTGATGGAACAAATACAGCCAGAGCTGTGCATGAAAAGCAGAAATTTGACATGATCAAGGATCAATTTTTAAAGGTAAACATTGTGTCAATTCTAGAAACATTAGCAAACTATGCTTTAAAAATGAAAAAATAGGATTGAATAATTTTGATTTCTAAGCTGTGGTGACATTAATGTAACAGAATAGGTAATTTACTTCTTGAGTTTTGATTCACTTTTCTTCCAGAGGAATCATTCATATGACTTTCACTTTTGTGGAAATATTTTTATAGTTTATTAAACTTCCAGAATAATTGAGTAAAACCCAGTGAACTCATTTCTTTCCTTAAAATATCAGGAGTTTATTATAATCTCAGAAGGAAGCTAATGTCTCAGCCATGAACTTTTTTTTCTTTTTGTTTACCCCACTGTTAAGAGGGAATTTAGAATGTCATTTTCTCTTTATGTTTTGAAAAGTTTAAAAAGTGTATGCCCGCAGTACGGATTTATTAATCAGTGGTTTGCCAGATGAGATTCTTTGATGAATTCCATAGAGTACAATATAGAGGTGCGTTCTATTCTATGAAACCTAGAAAGTAATGCTTCATAGAAGAAGGAACTGTGATCATTTTTAAAAGCATAGCTTTTTATTATTTGGACAAAAGTGGACTGTATTTTAATAATTACCTTTTTTTTTCTTATATGGTGCTGAGGAATTGAACACAGGGCCTCAGGCTTGCAAGGCAAGCGCTCTACCACTGAGCCACCTTCCCAGCCCTAATAATTACCTTTTAAATTAGGCCTCCAATTTTATTTAATTAATTTTGTGCCTGTACTGGTGCTTGAACATAGGGCCTCTCACTCTCACTTGTCTTTTTTCACTTAAATCTGGCACTCTACCTACCACTTGAGCAATATCTCCACTTAGGGTTTTTTGCTGGTTAATTTTGGAGATAAGGGTCTCATGAACTTTTCTTTGCCAGGCTACCTTTTGAGCTGTGATCCACAGATCTCAGCCTCCTGAGTAACTAGGATTACAGGTGTAAGCCACAATGCCCATAGCCATCTCAATTTTATCTACCAGAATATATTTGATCAAATTTAGTAACTAAAATAAAATTTGTTAACCAAAATAGAAAATTGTTTTTCTTAGTGATAAATGATAAGCTGTGAAGGTAATACTTTCAATCAACTGGACAACTAAGGTGAGAATAAATTATAAAGTAATGTGCCAGGTTTTTAGCTTTTGACCAGAATTTCATTCTCTCTCTTTTTTCCATAAGTTTCTGTTCACTGTTCTTTTTCCAGAGACTTTCAGAAAGTTAGGGAAGACTGAAAAGCTTAAGACAAAAAGTTAATGAAATAATTGAAGTAATCCTTACTCTCAGATCTAAAGATTTTGTTTTTATTACTTTACTATTTTAGATGAAATTATTTAACAATTTATTTTAGATGAATTATTTAATAAGTGTTGTCATCTGTAGATACTACCCATATGCTCAATTATTTTCATTAATGAATTGGAAACATACAGCTATAGATTTTAATCTTTTGTTCTTTGTATATCTTATGCTTTAAGAATGATTTTTTTTCTTTCTTTCCTAGTCATGGCACAAATTGAAAAACAAAAGAGATTTGAACAGTATACTACCTTTAAGAGCTGCTATCCTGAAAAGATAACTCACCTCTATTAAATTCGTCAAGAAATAAAGAACAATAGTTAATTCATAATGTATATTGTTTACCTCCATCATGTTTTTTTTTAAATTGTTCTTGTTTCCATGTTTCATTTTTATAAGGACATACATAAAGATTGCATATTTTATTATGATGTTTCCTAATAAAATTCTTTGATTTAAAAATGTATTTTTGAAAATGTTTACATTGATAACTAGTAATATTATTACATGAATTTTCAGACAATTAGATAAAATATATTTTGGGAAATTACCTGAACAAATGAAAGGTTTTGATATTACTTCAATTATTTGTAAAAGTTGTGTGACATTTTGAAAAGGTTCTGATTTATACATACTTATTACTGTATGACCTACAATAGGTTGTTGTCTATGTTGTTTTAGTAAAGTGATGATTCAAGTCGGTTATTCAATTACTTGAAGTAAAATGAAATCTTTTATTTCAGTGAAATCACTGGAGTCATGAAATACTGGACAGTTACCTTAAGTCTTCATTTGACTCCTTGGACAGACTGAGGCTTTTAAGTGTGCCTGTACTAGCATTTCATCAGTATTTTTCCATGCTTTTGATGGATTCTTCCGATTGCTTTACATTTTATGTTGAAACAACAATAAGTACATTTTCCACTTTTAATGTGACCACTGACACAGCAGTTAGTAACTTGATACTGGATTATTTTAAAGACAAGACATTTGGAAAAGATGAAGTCTCCTGTGCTCTGTGATAATATAGTACAGCGTGCACTTTTTCTGTTTCCCTGCTTTTTCCCCCCTGTGACAAGAAGAAACAGAAACTGAAACATCAAAGTTAAGATCATTTCCTGTTTGTAGAATCAGATTTTTTTTCTGTGTACATTTACAGTATTGGAATTTAGTATATCTTTTTACACAAAGTAGAGGCTGCTGAAAAAGCTACAGTGTTTATTGAAGTTTTTTTTTGATTTTTGTAAATATTTGTGAATTGTTACATGTAAATTTAAATATAAAAACTAATCTCGAAAACAGTTTTAACTTTTTCAAAAGAACCGCTAACAACTTCTTTTAGACCTACTGTAGTACAATTTGTACCTCATGTATTTTTTTTTTGCAGACCAATTCAAAAGTTAAGCTAAAAATTTTCTTTGACTTACAAAAGGTGCATATTTTCATTTTAAGTTTCATTTTTTGTATGATGTCAAATAAAGTTTGTACATAGAAATATGAGTCTTGAAAAATGTTTATATATTGTTCACCTTTTATCAAAATATATTGAATATAATATTCTTGTGATGAATCTTGAGTAATCATGGTCATAATAGTACATTGTCATTCAGCAATAGTGTACAATTCTTAGGGATGAATTCAGTGTTATAATGAGGCCACAGTTGTTGTATGTACTCTCACTGTTACTGTGTTCTCAGCTCTTAATGACTTCACTCTTACTCTTTTTCAGCCTATTTGTCGTAAGAAATAGATCAATAAGTTAAGTTTGTGTTCTAAATCAAAGACTTCAGTTACTTTCAGTTTTAGATATATTTGTGTATTGATCTCTCCATTTCTGCATTTTTGAATGTGTTAAGGAATTGTTTGCCAAGCTCTTATCTTGATCTGGTTTCATGCCAGCCCAGCATACCAAGAGACTTACCTCCACTTAACTGGCAAAGAGCTGGAAGTGAGATGTATTGCATTCAAGCCATTGCAACTGGTAATACTCAACCTCCATATGTTACATTCAGCAGTTAAAAACAGAATCTGCTATAATTAAATATTTGCTGTTGTAGCCATAGAGTCATTCCCACTAGTAAAAATTATGAATTGTAAAGGCACCTCTATCTGGTTGACATACTCATCAGATATGGTCTGGTCTGGTATTCAGGAAACAATTTGGTAATGTTCTGTAGTGCTATGTACTAGGTACTTGGCCAGTTTATGAGCTTGTGAGGGCTTAGGTTGGTGGGAGGAAAAATGAGTAATGAATTTTAAAAGTACCCTGGGGACAGAAATACTAGCATACTTCCTCCCTCCCCACCTCTCCGGCTCCCTGCCTGGGATCCTGGGGCTTTTAAAACTCAAGGCCTGGGTACTGTCCTGTGCTGCTGGTTTTGCTGAAGGCTAGCATTCCACCACTTGAGCCACAGCTCTACTTCCAGCTTTTTTGATAGTTAACTGGAGATGAAAGTCTCATGGACTTAACCTGCTGGAGCTAGCTTTGAACCTTGAGCCTGAGAACTCAGTTATACTACAGGCATGAGCCATAGAACCCTGGTGGCCAACATAACTTGTAACATAGACTGTAGTGGGAACCTGGAAGAAGAGGATTGCAGAAAAGAGTGATGATCTTTAATAATCAAAAAGACCAGATCCTTTCAAGCAGAGTTGTGTGAAAGTATAGGGGAGGGACTTGATGATGTTGGGAGCTCTTCTAAAAGAGCACATAGGAAAGATGTAGGTTGCTAGGCAAGATTTGATCTTTGTGAGGGTCTTGTGCTTCAGTCTTGGAGCAGTCAGGAGTTTTAAGTACTGGTTTTACATGATACAGTAAAACTTGGGTCCTTCAGGCTGAATTTCAGGTAAAACAATTTTTTTTTGTTGGTCCTGGGGCTAGAACTCAGCCTGGGTGCTGTCCCTCAGCTCTTCAGCTCAAGGCCAGCGCTCTGCACTTGAGTCACAGCACCACTTCTGGTTTTCTGGTGGTTTATTGGAGATAAGACTCTCACGGACTTTCCTGCCCAGTCTGGCTTTGAGCCGCGATCCTCAGATCTCAGCCTCCTGAGTAGCTAGGATTACAGGCCTGAGCCACCGGCGCCCTGCTTAAAACTTGAGGACTGTGAGTTTAAGGTTAGTGGAGCTACAACTATCCTGGCTAAACGATCAGAGACCACTGAGGCAGGGAATATGGTTTACCAACTTGCAATACAGAGGAAGTCTATACGGAACCATGAATCAAAAGTGAGGTCTTGAATTGTGCTAGCCTAGTACTCTCCCTTGAATCACTTCATTTGCGACGATTGGGAACCTTAAGCTACCTTAGCTCCCACTGAGCCTCCGGTTCCTCTAGAAGAGGAGCTCCTATTGCCAGTGAAGTTCAGAGATGTTGGATCTAGTAACAGTAAAGGAGTAACTTAGGAGCCCCAGCTCCTTCCTAAGTTTGGAGTAAAGGGTTCATCAGAACGCTGAACTAAGAAGCGTTAACCCTACCGAGTTCCAGGGCTGGGTCGCTTTTACCCTCTGAGGTCGGAGCACAGCCTGAGCCGTCTGCAGGGCCCGGTGGGGAGGACGCGCGGGAAGCTGGCAGAGCTCTGGGAAGCAGCCCAGCCGGGGCCCCGGGGCCCCGGGAGCTCAGCGAGCTCAGGCGGCGAAACTTTTTGACGCCTTCTATTTAAAGTCTCAGGGCTCACCCGCCCCCGCCCGGGAACCCGAGCCGCCCCGCCCTGGCCGGGCCGGTGGCACAGGGTGGTGCCCGGCCGGCCGAGGTGCAGTCAGAGGGAGAACACCAGGCGCAGCGCGGCGTGGGCGCTCCGACTCCGGCCCGGGACAGGCGCGATGGCGAGCCGCGACAGCAACCGCACCACCGAAGGCCTGCTCGGCTCCGATGGGGACGAGGAGGTGGCCCGGGAGCTGGACACCGAGGAGGAGGAGTCGTCGGAGGGCGAGGAGGACACTGCCGAGTCGGAGGAGGAGCCCGAAGCCAGGTACCTCGGCCGAGCCCCAGGGCTGGGCCCCGGGCAGCTGGGCCGCAGCACTGCAGGTGTGAGTAGGGCCGCTAGCTGGGCCGCAGCGCAGGTGTGAGTAGGGCCGCTAGCCGCCCCAGGGGGTGCTTGTTGCTTTCTCCTTTATGGATCTGGAGTTCATTTTCCTGGAAGGAAGCACTTTCCGTCTTGGGACTTGCTGCCTTCATTTTTCTCTTCTGAGCTGGAAGGTGAAGGTGCTCGCTGTCAGCTGGAGTGACAGGCCCGCCTGCAGCAAAGTTTACTATGGCCATCCCATCCCCCAACCCGCTGAGCCCCAGCTCCTTGTGACTTGCTGTTCTTATTTATTCTTGGAGATTTACGTAGGGTCCTCGTAACTCTGGAAGGCTCACCCTAGCCCAAGGCGCAGGATCAATCTGGAAAAACCTAGGCTACAGGGAGTGGAGGCTAAGAAGGCGGCTGTGATAGCTTCAAATGGATGGTAGCCTCCTGGGTGCACAACTCTGTGCTATGAAGGGATTTTATTTTGGTACGGAGACCCCTAACATAAATTTCTTAGGGAGAAAAGAAGCCTCAAGGCCATTTGAGGTAAAGGCAAGACTGAACCCACCCTCCAAAGATGGAGGAATGTGAGTTCTAGGATAGCTTCCAGACCTTGTCTCAAAAACAAACCAAAACAAGGTTGGGAGTGTGGCTCTAATGGTAGAGCCTTTGCCTACCAAGCACTGGCCCTTAGGTCAAACTCCACTACTACATAAACAGCACTAGCTAGCAACTCCTACTCTTAAGTTCCTACTGGCCCCAAGATCTAAACTACCAACATTTCTTTAAATGTAAATACATGAAATAAGAATTTTGCAATTGCATTATAAAACATTATTGTTTGATCTTCCTTCATAAAGGCACTAAAATAAAAATATTAGAAATGGTTTCTGTGTGTGTGTGTGTGTGTGTGTGTGTGTGTGTGTGTCAGTCCAGGTACCTGAACTCTGGGCCTGGGCCCTGTCCCTCAGCTTTTAAGCTCAAGCCTAGTGTGCTACCGCTTGAGTCACAGTGCCACTTCTGGTTTTTTCTGCTTATACGGTGCTGAGGAATCAAACTTAGGGCCTCATGCATGCAAGGCAAGCACTCTACCACTGAGCTTTTTTTTTTTTTTTCTGAGTTTGCATGGGTCAATGCCTTGCATGCATGAGGCCCTGGGTTCGATTCCTCAGCACTACATAAGCAACCGGAAGTGGCGCTGTGGCTCAAGTGGTAGAGCTCTAGCCTTGAGCTGAAGAGCTGAGAGCTGAGGGACAGCACCCAGGCCCAGAGTTCAGGCCCCTCGACCAGACCCCCCCCCCCCAAAAAAAAAAAAGAGTTTGAAGGTGGCGAATGGATATGTACCATTTGGGCATGCATGCATACTCAGTGCCCAACTCATTCCAGCAAGCTAAAATGAAAAAGTAGACCATAGAGTGGCACTGGCCAGGGTAAATGGTCAGTCAGATAGGATCTTCAGTTATGGGTCATGTTCTCCAAGCAACTCCTAAAAAGGAAGCAGGTATAGACTCTGCCCTCAAGATATTTATGGGATATTAGGGAGAAATATGGGGAGTATGAGACTATGTGTTTAGAAACAATAGAGACGGAAGACAGATTGTGGAAAATCAGGAGAGAGGGTTAAGCTTTGGCTACCTTACAGGAGTAGGCAGGAGCCTGGCTTTATAAAATGAGCTTACCCTGGCCCAAGGCACAGGATCAATCTGGAAAAACCTAAGCTTTTTAAATTCTTTCCTTCCTTCTTTCTTTCTTTCTTCCTTTCTTTCTTTCTTTCTTTCTTTCTTTCTTTCTTTCTTTCTTTCTTTCTTTCTTTCTTTCTTTCTTTCCCTTCCTTCCTTCCTTCCTTCCTTCCTTCCTTCCTTCCTTCCTTCCTTCCTTCCTTCCTTCCTTCCTTCCTTCCTTCCTTCCTGTTTGTCTTTCTGTCTTTTTTTTTTGGTCGGTCCTGGGGCCTGAACTCTGGGCCTGGGCACTGTCCCTCAGCTCTTCAGCTCAAGGAAAGCTAGTGCTCTACCACTTGAGCCACAGCGCCACTTCCGACTTTTTCTGCTTATGTGGTGCTGAGGGATCGAACCCAGGGCCTCATGCATGCAAGGCAAACACTCTACCCCTGAGCCCCCTTCCTAGCCCCTATTCCCTTTTTCCTGTATTTAATTTAAAATTTTTTTATGATTCTGTTTTCTTTATGTATAGTCTATTTGAATGTATATCTTCAGATGGTGGGGGGAAGGGTACAAAAAAAGGGTGAAAAAGTGCAGCAGCTCACTGGACACTGATGAAAGTGAACTATCCAACTCATGGGTGGAGACGAGAGGGAGGGACTGGGGGAGAGTAAGGAAGGGAAGACAATGTACAAAAGGAAATGCACTCATTACCTGACTCATGAAATTGTATTCTCACTGTACATCACCTCTACAATAACAACAAAGTAAATTTTAAAAAAAGAAAATGGGCAGGAGATGCATAAAGGAATAAGAGAGAAGGCACCCATGAGAT